AATAAATAAAGGTTTAGAAGTAGATTAAACTCTTTGGCTGCACAATGGATAAAAGTAACAAGTATTGATATAAATAAAGATATTTCAGCTATAGGGCCTCCCCGGTGGCTCAGCGGTTGAGCGCTGGGTTGCGAAGATGCCCGCAGCCTCTGCAGCGCAGGTTCGATCCCCAGCTGCCGGGTGAGGGTCCCACATGGCGCACAGACCTCTCCTGCTGCCCGCTGCTCCCCTCAGCAGTGTACTTCGTCAGTCTGCCTGCTCTGCTCTCCCCACTGGCTCTGGTGAATTCTCTCACCCTCCCGTGCTTCTGACTTGTATAAATAAATAAATAAATAAATAAATAAATAAATAAATAAAAATAAATAAATCTTTATAAATAAATAAAGATGTATAAATAAATAAATAAATCTTAAAAAAAAAGATATTTCAGCTATTTAAAAAAAGGTGAACTATTGCTATTTGCAACAATAAGGATGGAGCTGGAGGGAACTATGCTAAATGAAGTAAGGCAGGAGAAAGACAAATACTAGATGATTTCACTCAAATGTGGACTACAGAGAAACAAAACAAAGGTACTGAACCAAATAAACCAAATAAGCTAAATCAAATAAACCCTAGAAATATGACTGCAGAACTGAGGGTGAGATGTGGGGTAGGAACAAAGTGGAAAGGGAACCCAAAGGTCTATGGTACAGGTCTATATATGTGCTTTGGTGGTGGTTGCAGTTTGGTGACTTACATCTGAGGAGATGTGAACCTCTTCGCCTGAATAATATACAATACTGTAAACCAATGTTACCTCAATTGAAAAAAAATCTTCTCTTGAAATCTTAAAAAATAAAGTACTGAAAGAAAAATGACTAGATTTTAAATTTCTAGTCATGTTTAAAATACTTTTTTAAGTGTGCCCCCAAAAATATATGTAATCGGCATAAACCAGCAATATTTCAGAATGTTTGCTTGTCCATGCCTTCTTCCAGAGAGAGTCTATTAAGACCTTTCACCACCCACCACCATTGGAGTCAATTGTTTTAACAATAAAAAGCTTACTCATAAAGCTAAATGCAGATTTGGGCCTCCCTGGTGGCACAAGGGGTTAAGTACAGCACTGTGAAGCTATCTGCAGCCTCCGCAACCAAGTTGGATCCCTGGCCAGCCAGAGAGCTACCCACATGGCACAGCAGACCTCTCCTCACTCACCCACTGCTCCCCTCAGCAGTGTAATTCAGTCAGTCTGCCTGTTCTGTTCCCCGCTCTGTCTCTGGTGAATCCTCTCACTTCCCACACCTCTGGCCTGTACCTCAGTTCTTGTACGCATAAATAAATGTCTTTTTAAAAAAATAAATAAAGCTAAATGCGGATTTTAGTGAGCTAACTTAAAAGACAAGCTGAACCAGAGGGATTCAATCTATAGAATATGAATCTAGAAGCACAGAGGACAGTCAATGATGAGCTCTGAGAACTAGAACTAAAAGGTTACGTTAACTCATAGCAAGGGCAATTTAGTTCACATGCTAGTTGAAGCTATATGGAAGCCAAATGGATGAGAAAGTAAATCCAACAAATGAAGACTCAGTTAAAAACTAGAAATCTGTCATCTACCCTTGCTAATATCTACTTCCCCCCCATTTTTCCTGTGTACCTAATACACTTAACCCTATTCCTTAGGCAACATTAGTTTCTCCATTATGTACCAATGTCTATGTCACAATATCCAAATGTATTTGGGGGGAAAAAAATACTTACAACGTAGGTTATTACTTCATTAGAACAAAGGTGACAAATCTAAGATACTCCATTGAAATGCTAAGCCACCCATGTAGACAAGGAAACTAAAACTACTTTATTGGAATGTTCAGAAAGAGCCAAGTAATCCCTGTATTTGGATAGTGAAAAGAATCACTTTCTACCAATTATAGTAGCAATTTTCTATAATGCAGTAGAGTAGTTCTTTCCTGAAAATTTACTCATTTTCTTACCTGTTGGTAGAGGAGGAAAATCATAACTCTCAGAAACAGTACTGATACCTGGATCATTTTTAAATGGATTGGAAGTTAATGGCTGTCTATTCCTCTTTTTCTGATTGAACAATGGTACAGGCAAACATCCTAAAATTAATGTACCAACAAATTAGTTCTTAACAGGCAAACAGGCCCAGTTATATAATAATTACTAGTATATAATAATACATAACTTGGATTTGTCTACTTTTATATGTTTATTTTATCTTTATTATGGATATGTTTCTAGACTTGATTTTTTACATTCTTTTAAAGATCCTGAATAGATTGTCTTTAAAACCTCCTTTCTTATTCAACCTTAACAGAGCTTTAGTTACCTTGTTTGGAAATAATGCCCAGCTCCTCCCTTATCCCTCAACTCTTTCCAAACCCAATTTTTATTTTCCTTATTTCCCTCATTGATTGCCTATTATCATATCAACTGTAGGGGATGCTTCAAGGACAACAGAGGTAAGGGAGAACAAACTTTGACCCATGTATTCCAAAACCCTAACCATTCTTTGGACTGTGATAGCACATGCTTTTGGGCTATGGTTCTCAAACCTTAGTTTGAGTAGTATTTATCTGAATGTATGCTTAACATGCCCATTCCTAGACCCACTCTCATAGATTATAATTCAACAGATTAGGTTTAGAAGCTAAAACTATGCATTTAATAAGCACTCCAGGTATCTGTAATGCATATGTTCTGCAGATCATGTTGAAAAGTATTTATTTTAAATAAGTGAAGTCATAAATACAAATAAAGTAAAATCTATTTCCTGTTCTCAGCTTAAAGGCACAGAACAACTCAAACACATCAGGTTTAGATTTGCAGAAAGAACACTAGAGTAAATCCAGGAAGGTGTGGTTTGATTCTGCCACTAAACATTTTACCTCGAATAACTATTTTTATTTGCTTGGACCTAAAAAGTAAAGAAGCTAAATTATATGGTCAATCTTTTTAAAAGTTCCTTCCATAATGCTCCATCTATCAACTATATAATCTTTAAATGATATATACAAAAATGTTTAATTAAGTTGTTAAATACCTGCTGTACTTCGAGTTGAATTTTCATTCAGATTTCTCTTCATTTCTTTCAATATCAAAGTCTTTAATTTTTTCTTTAGCACTCCAAATTTACCATGTGAAATTTTTTCACTAAATGGTCAAAGAAAGAAATTTATAACTTATACTGTATCAACAGCAAAATCAACTTCTCAGTTTAGTAATTACTGAAATCTTAGTTTAAAAAATGGATTAAAACCTGATAATGTTAATACTTATGGAGTAATGAATAATTTGCTTACTGAGTAAGAACTGCAGCATAACCCATTTTTCCAATTCTGTTCAAAATAAGTTTGGACTAGGGTGCTGTAACCCTGCTGCCTAAATATATATGGATTTCCACACAGTCTATTTAATTTATTTCAGAATCAAGAAACCACAGTGTGAATAATTCCAAACAAATCTATAAAGATGGAAATGGATTATACCACTGGAAAAGTTACATGCTTATAAAGCCAAGAAAGAAATATACACAACTGAACTAGCCATGTGAGAACATGCTGTGTCTCAATATAAAACATTGTCCCTGGATTATGTAATGCCAAAGCCAAAGACCTCACTTAATATCAGGAATGACTGTAATAAGTTCCCAGTCCGTTTCTGTAACTCCAGTAACTGAAACCAAATTTTTCTTTCTTTTATAACATTTCCATTGTAACTTTTTCCATGTTCAAACTCCTAACATACTTCCATTCCAATTTATTTCAACACACACTTATCCACTGCATGAAAAACCAAGATACACTGAGATACCTAAATAAGATAATTTGTGCTCCCAAATTTCCCAACCAATGAGGTAGGTAGATATGAACACAACTAATAATATAAATCAGACTGAAGTATCTATCAATTTCCAAAAATCGCTTACAGAAATAAAAGGACTGCTTCTTTGTTTTGCTATGTGGGCTTTGAAGCTGGATACAGCAGGCCCTTTAGAAAATTCTCGTGATGTCATTCTCCAAACCAAAATAGTTTTTCTTATCACAGAAATACTAAAGCAACTAGAGGGGCTTACAAGGGTTACTATGTTTCTAAGTATCATGCAAACAAAATAAACAAAAATACAATGAGGGGCTTCCCTTGTGGCACAAGGGGTTAAGCACCGCACTACGAAGCTATCCTCAGCCTCTGCAGCACGAGTTCAATCCCGGCCAGAAATCCACCCACATGGCAGAGCAGACCTCTCCTGCCTCGCCCGCTGCTCCCCTCAGCAGTGTATTTCGGTCAATTTGCCTGTTCTGTTCCCCGCTCTGTCTCTGGTGGATCCTCTCACCCCCCCCCCATATCTATGGCCTGTATCCCAGCTCTTGTAGGCATAAATACATAAATCTTTAAAAAAAAAAAAAAATAGCGCTGGAAACTGTTTACAGAATTTATGTTTTTTTTTTTGAAAAAAAAAAAAAAGGACAATGAGCTGCCCTGATCACTGGGCCTGGTGGCAGGGACGTTGAGTTGCCCCGACCCGTGTTTCCAAGTGGACCCGTCCCTTAAGGCTTTATTTAATTGGTGGCATAGACGTGCAAACCGTTTTTTCTCCATTACACACACACACACACACACACACACCCCACCCCACACCCCCGCCTCACCCCCACCCCAAAGCCCTGCCTCAGCTGGAGGCACGAGGCCTATTTCAGACCCGCTCGGGGGCGGGGCCTTCCAGTCACAGTTCCTGTTCTCTCCAAGATTTCTACCGACTCAGAGCCTGCACAGTTTGATAACCAGGAACAATACGCAACCCTCCCTCCTGTCAACATGACGCGCAACTTTAACTCTCAGCTTTTCCGGCTTCCATCAATCGCCAACCGTCGCGAGCACCGTCCAGTCAGCGCTCACAGACCTTCCCGCTTCGAGAAAACACGCGGGAAGTCAGGTCGTGCGCATGCGCGCCTCACTCGCGCAGGCGCAGAGGCAGCCAGCTCGCCCGATGGAGCGTGGGCGCCATGGCGTCATCCCTTCTCCTGACAGCCAGGGAAAGACGCTTGCGCCCTGTGTCGGGATCGATAACCTGAACACACCTACATTTACCTCTCACACTGTGAGGTACGTGGCGCAAGGATGGCTCGAGGGGCAAGACTCGTCTGGTTTCTTGCCCCACCGTCCTCTGACCGAGCCTGGTGAGAAAAGTCGAGGACGGGGGCCCAACCCCTTTCCACACGCTGAGGTCGTGTCTCCAGATTGTAAGACTCTGGTGGCGCGCTGGAGTGTGTGTAGAAAAGGATGACTCAAAGGCCCCTGGCCTCAAAACCGAGGTTTGCTTGTCATTAGGGCTTTGCCTGGTGCTGCTGAGTTTCTGAGTCAAACCAATGGGGCTGGAGCATTGCGGGGAAGCTAGTGGGACAGAGAAGGCCTGGGTGTAGCTGACACCCTGGAGAGCCAAGAGCAGCCAGCAAGGGAAGCCAGTGCTGCCCGAGCTCCTGGGGGGATGGGAGGGAGCGAAGCACACATGTGTCAGAAACCTGAGACCCCCGGAGAGGAGACTGAATGGTGCCGTGACCCCAAGCTCTGGCCCTTGGGGCGCTAGCCTGTCGCTTCCTATCCTTCTGATCGTGGGCAAGCGCTTTATCCTCTCTAGACCTACATTTTCCTCCTCAGTAAAGGAGCGATAACAGTATTTACTTAATTGTCCTTAAAGTATTAAAGAATGAGCAGTCCTAGCAAACAATAAATGCTTAAAAAATATTAGCCATTATTGAGTAACAGTAGCTGCAGTTCATTGAGTGCTAATTGTAAACCAGGTATAGTAATTCTAGTTTGGGGGGGATTCAAAGACTATGTTTTGTTGTTACCATCTCATCTGACCTTTTGAAGGTCTTTGGGAATCTTTTGAAGGCTGGAATAAATAAAGGGAAGAGGTGGAGAAGGCACAGAGATCAAGGGAAGGTTATCAGTAAAGACCTGAACCTATGAGACCATGAGATAATTATTAGGTCAAACAAAGGCGAGTATTAGGAAGTAGTTCTAGAGGAAAATTAAGCCCAAAGAGCAGAGAACTTTCACCGCCACACTAAGGAATAAACCTAACAAGAATGAGGATCTCCGTTTAATTTGACAAATACCTTGAACAATATATTTTAAAAGACTTGTATTCATCATGGTTCCAGAGAGGAGTTTTGTTGTTGTTGTTGTTTTTTAATGTTTTTTTAAAGATTTGTTTATTTATTTATTTATACAAGCACTGGGTACAGTCAGAAGCACGGGAGGGTGAGAGAATTCACCAGAGCCAGAGCGGGGAGCAGAGCAGGCAGAAGGACCGAAGTACACTGCTGAGGGGAGCAGCGGCTGGCAGGAGAGGTCTGCGCGCCATGTGGGACCCTCCTCCGGTGGCCGGGGACAGCCGGGGAATGAACCGGCACTGCAGAGGCTGCGAGCAGCTTCGCAACCCAGTGCTCAACCGCTGCGCCACCGGGGAGGTCCTGTTGTTGTTTTTAATCAAATGAGTAAAAGCTTCAGGGTAACGTATTTATATGACATATACTTACATATATACCTGCACACCTGTACAACATCTCTCTGATATCCCCCCAAAAATAGATTTCTGATTTAAAATATATATATATATATATATATATATATACCTACTAACAAACAATATCTTTTGCTACACCTGTAAGGAATGCAGACTTGAGCTATGTGGAATTTCTAGTAGCAATTTATAGACTTTTTTTTCCAAATGAGCTTGGTAATATTTTCCTTGTATTTTTCCCTACTACCATCCCTGTATCTCTTGTTCCTCTCCCTCCCCCAGCCCTCTTAACCTCAGAGCCCTTAGGATATTTATTGATGTCCACTGGTCTTTGAAAGTGTTATACACTATCAAATTGTCTGCTATGTAAATGTTAGGTAATTTTTTTTTATCAATCTGATTTTGCTGCACATAATTCTCTCAAATTCCTTTCATTTTGTTGAAATTTCATCCTTTCTTATGGCTATATAATACCCCATGGTGAGAATATACCACATCTTCTTGATTCAATCATTGATTGGTCAACATTTAAGCTGCTTCCATGCCCTACCTATTATAAATCATGGTGCTATGAACGTTATGGAACATATGGGTTTTGTGTTTATGGAATTGATGGGTTGTATGGTATATCCATTTTTAGTTTTTTAGGATAAATCCAGATTTTCATAATGCCTTTCATAATGGCTGCAGCAATTTACATACCCACCAACAGTGTAAAATAGGTTTCTTTTTCTCCACATGCTCTCCAACACTTTATTGGGAGTCTTTTTAGTATGTGCTACTCTCGCAGGTGGGAGATGGCATTTCATTGTGTTTTTAATCCATACCTCTCCTATTAGAAGCTACAATGAACATTTTTCATATTTTTTTGCCTTCTGTATATATTCTTTGGTGAATCACCTGTTCATATCTGCTGCCCATCTATTAACTGTTATTTTTTATTGTTGAATTGTATGAGCTTTTAACGTATTTTGGATATTAATCGCTTCTCAGTTGTGCAAATGTTTTCTCCCATTCAATAGGGTATATATTTATAGTCTTGTATTTTCTTTCACTGTGTAGAACCTTTTTTTTTTAAGCTTTATTTTATTTATGCATACAACAGTTGTGGAGATGGGAGTGGAGGGTGAGAGGATTCACCAGAGACGGAGTAGGGAGCAGAATTTACTGAAGAATTTACAGAAAGATTTACTCAAATACACTGCTGAGTGGACCAGCAGGTGAGACAGGAGAGGTCTGCTGTGCCATGTGGGTCAGCTCCCTGGCCAGGAATCAAACTTAGGCCATAATGGTCATAGCACTGAGCCTTAACCCCTAGGCCACCAGGGAGGCCCTGTGTAGAAGCTTTTTCACTTGAGGTGATCCCAGTGGTTTTTTTTTTTTTTTAATTCTCTTGCCATAGGGATCAACTCACCGAAAATACCTTTATTATTGATATCCTAGAATGCATCAGCAATGTTTCCCTTCTTTGTTTTTCTGTTGCACACATATCTAAATCTTTAATAAATTTGTGGTTTATTTTTGTGTATGGATGAGAGAGCAATACAACTTCATTCTTTTGTATGTGACTTTTCAAGTTTCCCTACACTGTTTTTTAGAAAAATCTTTCCCCTATTTTTATGTTCATAACTGTTTTATCATCAATTAGGTGCTAATACCTACAAGGGTTTATTTCTAGGCTTTCAATTCTTTTCCATTGATCCATCTATCTATTTTTGTGATAATACCATATTGTTGTAGTACTGTTGCTTTATAGTAAAATTTGAAGTAAGGTAACATAATATCTTCATTTCCATTTTTTTCAGGGTTGTTTTTGCAATTCAAGGTCTTATGTGGTTCCCTATAAATTTCAAGATTTTTTTTCTGGAAAACTTTTTCAGTTTTTTCTCTGAAAATATTACTGGTATTTTAATGAGGATTGCATTCAATTTGTACATCGTTTTAAGCAGGTTAGTCATTTTGAGTGTATTGATTCTCCCCGTCCATGAGCATGGGATATCCTTCCATCTCCTTATGTCACTATCTAAATCCTTTAGTAACATCTTAAAGTTCTCGTTGTATAGATCTTTTACTTCCTCTGTCAGGTGATTCTGAGTTATTTCTAAATGTAATCTTTAGGATTTTCTACATATAATATATTACTGGTGAATAGTAATAGTTTCACTTTCTCTTTACTAGTTGGCATCCCTTTATTTTTTGTTTTCATCTCTGACACTAGGCAAAGCCTCCAGTGCTAGGTGAAGTCACTGAGTACAAAGATTTTCACCATTGAGCAATATATTGGCTGTTGGTTTGTGATATACAGCCTTTATTATATTGAAGTAGATTTTTTCTATTCCCATCTTGTTTATAGTTTTTATCATTAATGGGTATTGAATCTTATCAAATCATTTCTCTGCAGCAAAACTCGTTTGCTGTCTTGTTCTGGTTATCATTTCTTCCCACCTGAAAAGTTGATCAGGATAGAGGACTGCAATAGGGCCACAGGAGAAAGAGAAAATTAAAGTAGTGAAAGTAGTTTGATTACATGACTGCTAGATAATCACATTGTATATGAGATACCTCATGCACAATTGGAGAGAAGGCACTCCTTATCCCCCAATCATACTATTTTGGAAATAACCACACCTTAAAATTTGTTTCCCACAATGTTTCTGCCATCAATATATTGAACCCCCTTGACTATGAAAAATTTACTCTCTCTTTGTTTTAAACTATATTACTACAGTAATTTACTAATAAATCAGCCACCAATATTCAAAAAAAAATACTGTAATGCTGGAAGTTATAATTCTTTTAAGTACTTCAAAAAAACATTTAATATTCAACCTAATAGTGAGATAGTGACAACTAGAAATAGTTCCACTTTGTATACTATCAGTTCTCTATCTCAAAAAAAGAACTAATAAAAATTTATATGTGGGGTCCAAAATTTTAGAGTACTTTGGGAAACAGGGAGTTAAAAATCTTTTGGAAGTTAAGTTGGTATAAGAGTATGAAAAGCCTCCATTGCTCTAAGTTCTAAGGAAATGCTCTCTTTTTACTCTAATAAAGCTTTCTGGAGAAGACAAACTCTGTACACAATAAACAAGGTAAGTATAGGACAGAATTACTGCAGTTCATTAACTCTCAAAAAGTTATTCATTTTGACATGCAAGGGAAACTTTATGAATGTTAATTGTACTTCAAAGTGCTGATCTGTTAGAATTCCATAAAACAAGCTTGAAATGCAAGTCATTTGTGCCAGCTACAAGTAAATAACTGAAACAGCATTTCCAGACAGACTAGGGCAAAGGACAGAACTAACCACAAATTGTTAGAAAAGAAGCAAAACATAATCCTGTTAATGATCCACCATAATTATTGCTTTTAAAATTGAAGTAACTAAACAATACAGCTATCATTTGTTTATATTTGTACTTGTTTTCATCATAGACAATGAAGTGTTCAGTGTACATTAATGTGGGTAGAAAATCAAAGGCTACAGGGGCTTTTTCTTAGTAACTTTAATGTGTAAATTTAGATTTTATTATTTTGTTTTATCTGCATTATAATTTCTTAAAGGGAAATAATAGGAATTGGTTTACTAAATACTATGAAGCATTCACATTTTATATGTATTTTGTATAAGTGTATTTATAATACATGTATAAATACATGTATCATAAATACATGTATCATAAATACATGTATCATGTATTTTGTTTGTATGCTTGTTTGTTTCTGGAGCACACTGTAGTGACTGTTTATGTAAATTCTAAAAGAACAAAATTAAAATTTTGAGAAGACTAAAAATAACAGGGAGCACTTTACTGTTCTGTGAAAACCACTAGACTTAGAATCAGAAAACCTGATCCCAGGCCTAATTTTCTTGTGTTATATGTGGAACCTTACCCAAATTATTTAACCTTGCTTTCCTTTACCACTGAAATGGGGGTTCGATACCTAACCCACCCTATCTTACAAAGTGATTATATGAATAAACTGAGGTGACATGCTATAAATTAAAATACTCTGAAATTGTAATGAATAATTCTTGTTATATCCTGTCAAATAATCTAGCATTACTAGTACATAGTATTTCCTGTTGAACATATTTGACTTTCTAGATGACTGAGCATGAAATCAAATCAGATTTGCTTGTAATCATCTTAGTATTCTGCATAGTTTCCTCTAACAAGACCCCCTCTTGAGTAACACATTCCAGTGGAGATTTCCTGCTGCCAGTAAGACTATGTCTACATAAATTCATAAAATGTAGCTGTATATATTTAGCTGCCCCAAGACATTTTCACTCATTGCAAAAATTTGAAATTACTAATAGTTGCTTTTCTTTTAGTATACAGAGGCCAAAAGTGAGGAAAATTCCTGAGGAAGCCAAAATAGAATTACCAACAATTTCATGAGAAAGAAATTTAAGCATGTTCCAAAGTATTTTTTTTAAGTCCCATTCATTGTTGATTTGGTCCTTGTGTCTCTGGCCATGAAAAAGCATTCTGACAGAAAGTGCTGGTTCCAGAGTGGGTCTCTGTGGATCTGCCTCTGGCAGGTTATAGAGATAAGATTTAAATGTCCTCAGATAATGAAAAATTCCTGAATCATACAGAGAAGAAATGTTTTTGAATGCAAGTGGAAATGTAAATATTGAATAATAACATGCATATTATGGCCCATATCCTTATTTTTATATTTTTGAGGATTAGGGATGTATAAACATATTTTTATTATTACAAGTAGTTATGAAAGCACCCTTAGGTGACATTCTAGCGGAAGGGAAAACAGGAATTTTGTATTAGTTGGAAATGCTAATCTGTTATTGTATTTAGATCTGCTGACCATTTGAGGGAGTTAGAAGTTAAAGTAAACAGCAGAATCTCTTGTTGATCTTTGCATATTTTAATCCAAATATGGTAAAGGGCAGGACTAAAGAAGGAAGTGCCCATATAATAAACAGATCTCAGAACTTGTAACAGAAAATTAAAATATATTCCGTGCAAGAACTCTGCACTTTGCACTTTGGTTAAAGTCTCATTGAGACATAAATCTTTCTTAAGAAATTAAGTTTTCTTTGCTCTCTTTCTCAGTTGCAGAAATTAGATAAAACTACTTGACAAAATGACTACTTGTCACTTTGACGGAGATCCTATAAAAAAGGTTGCTATCTTTGGAGGAACTCATGGGAATGAGCTAACAGGAGTATTTCTAGTTAAGCACTGGCTAGAGAATGGCGCTGAGATTCAGAGAACAGGTCTTGAGGTAAAGCCATTTATTACCAATCCAAGAGCAGTGAAGAAGTGTGCCAGATATATTGACTGTGACCTTAATCGAGTTTTTGACCTTGAAAATCTTGGGTAAGTCTGCATCTTGTATTGTGCGCATGTGTGTGTGTGTGTGTGTAAAGTGGACTGTGGGAGAGAACATGTAAATGTATATGCATGTGATACTAGTACGTATTGTTGCTAATGTAAAATCACTTTCACTTTTAATCATACTCCATTATGAATTGCACAACACTCTAAACCAAGCGTTCACATGATATTTTATAAACTTTTAAAAGCACCACACTGTTCTTAACTGGTTTTCTTTTTAAATGTATTTTACAAAGACTGAAGCATAAGTAACTAAGTTTATTACTTTTTTGCTTTAAATTGGTGTTTTACCAGTGTGCTTGCATACAAATGTATTATTAACTTTCTAGGTTATTCACTACTTTTTTATTATTCAATTCTGTTTATGGTAGTTTATAAAGTTCTAGTCAAGAAAAATGCGATGTTCCAATTATGTCTTTAATGAAAGAGTGACTAAAAACCTATCATCAGAAAACATTAAAACATTCTGTGATCTGATGAGTAGATGTATTTAACTCAGTGATGAATTAATGAGAGGTGAAGGCTGACTTATTTATAACACATTATATATACAGTCATAACACCTAGGTATGTCTTTATTAACTATTTTTGCCTTTGATTACATCATTATAGGTACTACTATAGATATATAGGCTTCTGAGTACTTGCTTTTTAACTGCTTCTTCTCATTTACCTAAAAATATTATTAAATACCTACTCTTCTCAGGGCACCGTAGGAGTTCAAAACTATGTATAAAGTGGTTTCTACACTCCAGGAGTTGGCAGACTACTAGCTATAAGACATGCACAGATATGCCTCTCACAGTACTGCTTTATGTGCTGATTTTCTATTAAATGTGATCTGAGTTCAGAGGTTACCTAAGTTAAATCTCACCACAAATCAAAGGATGATTACTATATAGTACAAATATATCTTACTTTATGAAGTAGATGTTTTTCAGAGCAATTATATGTTAGTTATATACCTTGTGTGGTAAGTCACAGTTTTACTGACATTTTTTTTTTCATTTTTAGCATAAATTTTGATTTCAGAAATGTTTTATTGTCATGACTCAAGTTATGTTGACACAAGTAATGTTTATCCACCTAAAATAGTTGCTAAATAATGTTTATATTACAAGTAAGAATTTGTTGAAAAATAACTCTCTTAGTTGTTGTTTGTTGAAAAATAACTCTCTTAGTTGTTGTGTTATCTTCCCAAATAACCCTGAAATGGACTAGGGTAAGTTTTCTTTTTATGACTACTCAGTGGTATATATTTCAGTGAAAACAGTCTTTTAAATTAAATTCTCTTCCTATATGTTACCTTTAACACTGTTTAGAAGCTAGACAGTTCTCTCAGGGCATTTATGAAGATTTATGACATGATAAACTACCTTTTTCAGTCCCTCCTTTCCCAAATTTGTTCCTATTGCTGTATTCTGCATCTCAGTGATGTCACCATTAGCCACCAAATCCCCTATGGAAATTATCTTACAACTTTCCCTGTTCCCCCACATCTGCCTAGTGGTTTGTAAGTCATTCAGTTATTCAGGTACTGAATAATTGCAAGTGTTTCACAAAATCAAACTTTCTCTCAATTTTCACTGCCCTAGTTATTTCCTCTTACTATATTTTTAAAGAAATACCAGAGCAACCTCCTAATGACTCTTTCTGCATCTTCTTTTACTCTTCCTGACATCAGTTCTCTGTATTATGGCAGCTATAGAGGGATCATCCTAACACAAATTTATCATGTCTCTTCCCTGCTGAAAATCCTTCCTAAATCCCCTATAGATTTAAATAACTTCATATAGCTAATACCACCCTTTAGGATCTTCCCTCTACCTATTTTTTTGGCTTTATCTCTTTGGATTCTTCCTGTGGTACTTGGAACTCCAGACATGATAATTCAAAGTCCCATTATCTTTGAAAACTTCAAGCCTTGACTCTGAGAAACTGAGTGACTACTGGTGTCATTTGTTCACATGGGGAAGAATTAGAAGCAAATCAATTGGTGGTGAAAGGACTTATAGGGTTGTTTGTGAATTCATTTTTTAAGTGTGTGTGTGTATGTGTGTGTGTGTGTGTGTATATATATATATATATATAAAACATATATATGTTAGGGACTATGTTTAATTGCTTATAACAGAAACCTGAAAACAGTGGCTTGAACAAATAGCGTTTCTTTTCCATAAATAATGAGTTCAGAGGTCAGGAGTCCAGGGCTGCTACAGCAGCTCAGTGATAAATCCTCAGGCCTTTCCACCTTACCACTAGACCATCTTTAGCATGCATCTTTTGTCCTCTTGATTTTTGTTTCTTAGTCCAAAAAAATGGGTGCTCCAGCTTCTTGATTGCTTTCCAGGTAGGGATTATTCAGGTGAAACTGTAGGTCCCTAGAAGATACTAGAAAAAGTAGTCAGGGCATGAAAATAAATTAAATTAGAGAGAAATGAAGTTGAATGACTTAATGAGGAAAAATCTGTTTAAACCATCATCATGTATGGTTAAAAATGTATCCTAACCATTGTGGGAGAAGAAGAGTGGGCAGAGAGGGATTCATTTGAGAAGCCAATAAAAAGCTATTACCCCTCATCCACATTTCACTTTTTTTTTCAGCGTTTACAGACTTTTGTCTGCAAAACTTGTCCGTAGACCATTAGTGATTCCTGGACTTCAACTAGGAATCCCTAATTGGTTTGTGTGAGCACCTACATTTAATTGTTTTAGTGCATTAGATCTAGCTAGAGTATACAGTATATATAAATGCATTTGATGGTCTGGTCCCATAGTAGCCCAGTACATATAAACTACTGAGAAGCTGATGGTTAACTAATGAGTAGATTTTATTCAAAGTGGAAGTCAAATGGTAAATTCTGTTTGAAATGGCCTTCCTGTGACTAGCCATATAAATGATTATTTGCAGGTATGTCAATGCAGCATTATATGGAATCAAATGGAGGTAAAAATGTAATTTTTCACTTATAAACTTTCCATATGTTTCCCTTCCCTCACAGATTTTTCATATTAATGATTTGGCAACGGGTTCCTTATACACTGTGTTCTTATTGAATATTTATGTTATTTTAGCCACAGATGTTATTAATATTTTTCTTTCTGCTAATAACAGCAAAAAAATGTCAGAGGATTTGCCATATGAAGTGAGAAGGGCTCAAGAAATAAACCATTTATTTGGCCCAAAAGATAGTGAAGATTCCTATGACATTATTTTTGACCTTCACAACACTACTTCTAATATGGGTTGCACTCTTATTCTTGAAGATTCCCGGAATGACTTTTTAATTCAGATGTGTCATTATATTAAGGTAACGTCAATGTTATTTATTTATAAGTTAGCATAGAGCCTGTACTTTTTAAGTCAAATGCGGATATGAACAAGAAGGAAAGGGTTAGGAGGAGTGCCCCAGAGAGATGGGGAGTGTTAAGGAGCACCAGAAGAGAGTCAGTGGCACAGGCAGAAGAAAAGGAAATGCATAAAAGAATAAATATGATGAATAAAATAATAAAATATGTGATTCTTATGTCTTTGAAATTATAAATCTCTTATCCAGACAGCCATCAATCACAGGCTAGTTGGTAAACCTGGGTAAAATGGGTACCAAAATTTAAATGATAGGGTGGAAATACTTCAACTACAGTTTTAGGAAGCTCAAGTAACAGGCATTTAACGCTAACTAAGGATCAGTGATTAAAAGATTGACTCTTTAGTACTACCTTTTTTGTCATTGATTTAGGTACTTCAGTAATCACCAATCTTTCAGTACCTCATACAACAAATAATTGTAGTATGTACTTCATACAACAGAAATCTAGAAGATGAAAACGGTAGCCATCCAGTGTCTATAGCTAGAGAAAAATTGCTGGAAAATACCTACCAAGCAAAAACAAAATAATGACTTATATTCTTATTTCTGAATAATAGATAACCTTCCTTCCAAAAACCTAGTATGATTTAGTGAAAAGAGTTTTAGCAATGTAGCTAGAAGCAGCTGGTTTCAAATCCTGGTTTTGTCATTTACAAACCTCGGACAAGATGCTCAGCTCCCAAAACCTTGCTTTCTTCATTTTGTAAAATTGGTTAATAACACTTAACCTCATAGGACTATAAAAGCCATAAATGAGATAAATATTTAAAGTTTTTAGCCTAATATCTAACAGATAGTAAAGGTTAATTTTTGTGAAATGCTGTTGTTTTTGTTTCCCTTGAGTGTTTAATAACTAGATAGTAATTCTGGGAGGAGATCATAATGCAGCTATTCTTTTACTCCTTAAAGGGAGAGCTGAATGCTTTGGTTACCAGGCACCAGAGAAGCCTGACTTGCATTGTCATCAAAACTGGGAGGCCTGTTTTGAATTCTCATTCAGATAAGTGGGGGTTGGGGAAGTTCCCCAACATATGTAGAGACCTGGACCACAGAAATAGAAACTGACTTCTTTAGGATACCAAGACTAAGCTAAATAGTAAGTGTAACAAATATTGGGAAAAAAATACAAAATCCATTCAGAAGGAAATTTTATTTCATACTCTTTGATCTGGATTCAGAAAATCATTTACTATACATTTTACCCAGAACACTATTCATAATTCAAATATACAATAATAATATTGGGTCTTAGGGTATGTTTCATAAAGCTAATCTTAGTTGATAAATTAAAATATACTGAAGGTATTATTGACTCTAGCAGCAAACAGAATAAAAACATGGTCTTTGCATAATAAAAAAGATGTTTTAAATTCTTTTCAGACTTCTTTAGCTCCATTGCCTTGCTATGTCTATCTTATTGAGCATCCTTCCCTCAAATATGCAACCACCCGTTCCATAGCCAAGTATCCTGTTGGTAAGTCCTATTTCCCATTATCACACTGAACAAACTATGTCCTGGATGAAACACTGATAAAATTATTTTTAAAGAATATTTGTTTGTTTATTTTCATTGATGTAACATTGGCTTATAACACTATATATGGTTTAGAGGTATAGGTATAGGTTTAGAGGTATACACCCTTCAGATGTATGTTACCACACCACACCCTCCACCAACACACCCACAGTCCCCCACCATAGACCCTTGTGCCCCTTCCCACTTTGCTTCCCCTTCTCCTCTACCTCTGGTCACTTCAATTCTGTAGTGGGACTTCTAGGGATTGTTACTGGCTTTATCTGACCGTTTGTTTTGCTTCTCTATATTCTGCATATAAGTGAAACTATCTAGTGTTTGTCTTACTCCTTCTGATTTACTTCAATTAGCATTATCCTCTCCATGTCCATCCTCCAGTTGTCACAAATGGCAAGAGTGTCTTTTCTTATAACTGAATAGTATTCTGTTGTGCATATGTATGTATATGTATGTATGTATATATATATATATGTATATATACATATACATATATATATATATATATCACATCTTCCTAACCCTCATCTGATCTGACCTCATCTGATCTGACCTTGAGCACTTAGGTGGTCTTTCTAACTGGGCGATTGTTAATAGTGCTTCAGTGAACCTAAGAGTGCATATATCCCTTTGAATTAGCATTTTCATGTCCTTAGGAGTAGAATTGCTGAATTAAATGGTAGATATATTTTTAATATTTTGGGAACCCCTACATTATTTTTCTACTATGTTGGATAGTAGTGGTGAAAGTAGACATCCTTATAACAGATATTAGTGGAAACTTTCAGTTTTTCACTATTGAGAATAATATTAGCTATAGGTTTACATTTTTTTACCTTATTATGTTAAGAAATGTTTCATCTATCTCCAGTTTTTTGAAGGTTTTTATCCTGTATGGAAATTGGATTTTTTTTTTAAAGACTTACTTATTCATGCATATAAGAACCGGGGTACAGGCCAGATGCGCGGGAGGGTGAGAGGATTCACCAGAGACAGAGTGGGGAGCAGAACAGGCAGATCTACTGAAATACACTGCTGAGGGGAGCAGTGGGTGAGCAAGGAGAGGTCTGTCACGCGTTGTAGGATTCTCGCCAGCCCAGCCAGGATCGAACCGGCGCTGCAGAGGCTGCAGACAGCTTCACAGCGCTGTTCTCAATCACCTGCGCCACCAGGGGAGGCCCGGAAGTTGGATCTTATCAACTGCTTTCCCTGCATCTGTTTTTACAACCATATAGTTTTTCTTTCCTTTTGTTAATGTGGTTAATCTACATTGGTAGATTTTCAGCTGTTGAGCCGTCATCATCTCCCTGGAAAATATCCCACTTGATCATGGTGTATGATCCTTTTAATGCATTGTTGAATTCAGTTTGCTGAGATTTTGTTGAGGATTTTTGTATCTATATTCATCAGGGAAATTGGTCTGTAGTTTTCTTTGCTTGTGTTATCTCTTTCTGGCTTTGGTATCAGGGTAATATTGGCCTCATAAAATGTATTTGGAAACATTCCCATTTTCTGTTTTTTGGAAGAGTTTGAGAAGGACAGGTTATTAGTTTGTCTTTGAAGGTATTGAAGAACTCACTAGTGGAACTCCCTGGCCCTGGGCTTTTGTGTTTTGGGACATTTTTGATTACTGTTTCCATGTCCTTGTTTGTAATTGGTCTGTTCAGGTTTTCTTTCTGATTAAGTCTTAGAAGGTTGTATATTTCTAAGAATTTGCCTGTGTCTTCTGGATTATTCACTGGCTTAGAGTTGTTCATAGTAATTTCTTATGACCCTCTGTATTTCTTAGATGTCTATTGTAACTCTCTTTTGTTTCTATTTATTGAATTTTCTCCCTGTTTTTCCTTAGAGCCTCGCTAGAGGTTTGTCTATTTTGTAACCAGCTTTTGATTTCATTAATCTTTTGGATTGTCTTTCTGATTTCTATTTCTAATTTTTATTATTTCCTTCCTTCTACTGGTTTTTGATTTCATTTGCTCATCTTTTTCTTTTCCTTAAGGTGAAAGGTAAGATTATTTATTTGAGCTCTTGTTTCTTGATTTGAACCTATATTGCTATATACTTCCCACCTAGTACTTTTTGTGCTGTGTAGCGTATGTTCTGGTAAGGTGTTTCCTCGTTTTCATTTGTCTTAAGGTATTTTAAATTTCTTTGATTCCTCATTAACTCAGTAGTCATTCAGTAGTGTGTTGTTTGCTCTCCACATATTAGAGGTTTTTCCTTCTTTTGTGGTTTATTTCTAATTTAATACCATTGTGATCAGAGATTTCAATCTTCATGAAGTTATTGACACTTATTTTGTGTCCCAACTGGTGGTCTATCATGGAAAACATCCCACAGGCACTTGAGAAGAGTATGTATTCATTATTTTTAGTGTGCAGTGCGCTATAAATATCTGTTGAGTCCTTGTGGTCTACCATATCAGGATGAGTTGTTATGTTAAGAGCAAGAATGTTGCTTTAGGGTCAAATGATCGTCATGTTGATTTAAATTCATACCTTATCTAGACTAGATTTCCGTGGCTAAATAGATGTCTTTCCTACTGTCGAAGTTTAATGATAGGCTTATGATAGGTTTTGTTTGTGACCATGTGTTATTTTATTGAATATAAGTATAAATTTGTTTACCCCTCCTACTATATTATGGTTTTTAGATATTTTAGCACTGTTGAAGGATATTTAAAGAAAAAAACCTTACTACATTAACATACCTGATAATTTTCCATGGTCTCTCCCAGTCTTTATTCATTGTGCATATAACTTGTACATGTAAATGTTCTACTTTATTTTTTGCCATACCATTTTGTTGCAAATATTTTCCATGATGCTACATGCTCTACCTTCTTAATAATTTTTAATTATGGGATTCTACATATTGATATATTCAAGTCTTCAAACATGTATTATATTGTAATAATAAATGTGACTCTCTTCTCTTCTGCAATAGGCGTAGAAGTTGGTCCCCAACCTCACGGAGTTCTGAGAGCAGATATTTTGGATCAAATGAGAAAAATAATTAAACATGCCCTTGATTTTGTACATAATTTCAATAAAGGTAAGTAATTTCAATGAATGGAGTTGTTTCTCTAATTGTAAAAGTATGTGTGTGTGTGTGTGTGTGTGTGTGTGTGTGTGTGTGTGTGTTTTCTCCCTGTAACAGTCCTCATTTTTTTGGTTATTGTTCTTCCTTCCTTAAAATATTAACTTCCCTTTTTCAGGAGGTTTTTTATTTTGTCATCGCTATTATACATATTGTTTTTGCTATAGGAAAAGAATTTCCTCCCTGTACTATTGAAGTCTATAAAGTACTGGAAAAAGTTGACTATCCCAGGAATAAATGTGGAGAAATTACTGCTATTATCCACCCTAATCTGCAGGTAACATTTATTATTTTTTAAAATAGTCAAAATGATGATGCCTTATATTTGACTAGAGCTTTACAGCTCATAAGGCATTTACATACTCAGTGCATTTGATGCTCTCAAAAACATAGCAATATAGATTAGATATTCAGTTCTTCACTCAACAGATATTTGTTGAGCATATCCTGTGCTGGCTGTGGGGATACATCCATAAACATGGTCTCTACTCTCATGGAATTTATCATCTAGATAAACTAAAGTCTAAACTGTAGCCTAGAAATTAAAATAACCAGATACCATAACAGAATAGTGAGGTGGAGGAGACATGGTCACACACAGTCTCTCAGAGAAGATAAAATTCCTGCCCACATGTAATGGGCAGGAATTATTATGTCTGTTTCGGAGGCTCAGAAGTGAAATCCTTCCTATAATAATATAGCTATCAATGGCAGATTCAGAGCTAATGCTTTTTGCACTTGACCTAATTGCTGCCTGTGATCACCACTGAATAAGTCAGAATAAAATAATCCGGACTTCTTTTCAGAACATTTTCTGCCACCATTCCCTGACTGCTCAGAACCCTGGTAACTGCTTCTTATATGGTCTGATCAATAATGGCACGGTGAAGGAGAAAGAAAAGGATCTTGGGAGAGTATAGAAGGCTTAAATCTGGAACAGACAAAGATAAAGGCAAAGCAGGGAGGAACAAAGTTTCCATCCCCCCCAGTCTGAGGACCCTACCCACCTTCAGGCCTCAGAGAGGGAGGATATCTGGTACATTATCAAAGCTGGGGACTTTTAACCCTTTTTGAGACATCCCAGGTAATTATAATTTATAGCCAGCATTGAGAAAATGGCTCGAATGCAATGTTTCTCAAACTTTAATGCTGCACATGTAAATCTCTGGGGATCTGCTAGCATGAAGGTTTTGATTTAGTAGGTCTACAGCAGGAATGAAAATGTGCTTTTCTAATAACTTGCAGGTAATGCTGATATTAGAAATACAAAATCTCAGGGCCCCACCCCAGCCCCACAGAATCAGAATCTGCATTTTAACAAAATCTCTATGTGATTTGCAAACATGTCACAGTTTGAAAATTAATGCTCTTAAGGTCCCTGTAGTGTGTGAGCACTCGTGTTTTCACATTCAAAGGTTCAAATCCCTGGTACAGACAGTTTCAGATAGCTCCATTTTTAACCACATTATGAAGACACATATTGTGATAACAAGTCTTGTCCTAGGCTTTAACCAGTCATCCACCACCCCTCACCAATCTCCATCAGAAAAGAACTTCCTGGGCCTCCCCAGTGGCGCAGTGGTTGAGAGCTGGGTTGCGAGGCTGCCTGCAGCCTCCGCAGTGCCGGTTCGATCCCAGGCTGCTCCCACCGGAGGAGGGTCCCACATGGCGCGCAGACCTTTCCTGCCGCCCGCTGCTCCCCTCAGCAGTGTACTTCGGTCCCTCTGCCTGCTCTGCTCCCCGCTCTGACTCTGGTGAATTCTCTCACCCTCCGCGCTTCTAACTGTACCCAGTGCTTGTATAAATAAATAAATAAAGCTTTTAAAAATAAATAAATAAATAAAAGAATATAAAAGAAATTTAAAAAAAAAAAGAAAAGAAAAGAACTTCCTTGTATGCAGGCACAGCATTACTCATATTTATGTCCCCAACAGAGAAATTTCTTGCCCACATTAGAGTCTTAATGGATATCTCCTAAATTTTGCTGAGCAGAATTTAACTCCAGCAAGCAAATGAAAAAGAATATACACATAGGGAGATAATACATTTAGTTTTTCCTTTTAACATTATAAATCTCTTTGATAACATTCAAGGCAACCTTGGTATTAAAGAAAGCTAATGTATCAGCTATAAAAATTAAAAGGGAACTCTTAACATCGCTGCCAAAATAACTCAATATCCATTTAGTCAGATTACCACAAGTGTCTCAAGGCATCTCAAGAATGCAATGCTGTCATTTGTTAGTTGTATAGACATTGACATAACATTTTTAGAGTGAGAGAAAAGCCAAATATAATTTATGTATTTTAATTGTTTCCTGAGAGGATCAAGACTGGAAACCATTGCACCCTGGGGATCCCATGTTTTTAACTCTTGATGGAAAGACTGTTCCATTGGGCGGAGACTGTACGGTGTACCCTGTGTTCATAAATGAAGCTGCATATTATGAAAAGAATGAAGCTTTCGCAAAGACAACTAAATTAACACTCAATGCAAAAAGTATTCACTCCTCTTTACATTAGAAGTCACTTCTAGCTTGCTGCTTATCCAGTATCTTGAAAAACTCTACTAGATTGTAAGCTCCTGGAGAGCAGGACTGTGCCTCACTCAGCTTCACATCCCCTGCACTGAGTCTAGTGCCTTGCACACAGTGAGCATTCAGGTGAATTTCTTGAATGAATAAATTAATGAATATTTTTAAAGATATCATACTTTATGTATGTAGCTTACTTGAAGAAATGCATGTCTTATTTCTGCATAGCTTTTTATACATGGTACTTTGATAGTTTAATATTCTTAATACATAGCCTTTAAGTTCAAATATAAAAATTGAAAGAGATACTGTACACCCCAAAAAAGTACTACTTTGGGCAGAGAATTAAGTGTGGTATGTTTTCAAGTAATGTGTAAATGTTATTAGAAACTAATGGTGCAGACTTAACTCTTTTTAAATTCTATGCTATTTCATATTTGAATTAATGATGATATTAAGTATCCAATCAATAAACATTAGTAATAGTTGTGATACCCATAGGAGATTTTTAAATGTTCTTTTGAAGATGAAATGTGAATGACAAATGAGGGCTGATTGTTAATGTACCATCATGAATAAATGAAGAAACTCTGAATGGTCCTTTGCCCACAAAGCGTCTCCTCACTAGCGTGCCCTCTTGCTCCTAATGTTCCTTCCCCACGTGGCAAAGGCGTAAGAGGCATATTCCTCACAGCTGTCACTTCTCATTTTGAAAGAACACACTTGCTCTCTCCCCAGCCGATATGTGAGGATGTCCCTGTGCTCCAGCAGCATAGGTGGGAGCTCCAGCAGCAGAGGGCAGGGGACACTAGTGGAAATATGACCCATATCCATGTCTCTGGTTTGCAAATACATTCTTTCAGGAAATTTCCCTGTGTTCTAAATACGCAAGTCCCTCACCTCCCATGATTCTTCTTTTCAAAGGTCCTTGGGCTGAAATGCTGCTTTCCTCTCTTTCCAGCCCCTGCAGGAACCCTCCTCTAGGGCCAAAGCAGCCAAGTAAGGGGCATTTTTATCCCATGATTTGGACCCCAAAACACTCATGTTAACAGTTTCAAATGTATTTACCAAAATCATACTAACATTTTCTGAACAGATATAGATATAAACATTTTCATTCTTCCAGAGCATGCCCCATTAAGCCAAATTTTATTCCTTATTCAGTGTTCTCTATTGTACAATTAAACTGTTTCTAATTATTTCAGCACTTTTGTGGTACTTTACCAAAATCATTTTCACTGCAATAAAGTCTCTTCCTTCTGAAGTCTGTTGTAAAAAATTATCAGTTTTTGTATTTACAAGCTTTACCCAGTTTCCTGGGTATCCCACTGTGAGTGTTACTTGATGTTTTATGTCTAAGTCCAATTTTTCTGGGTCAATTTTTTCCAGATGTAAATTTTGGCAATACTTTGTTCTTCTATCAAATTTTAGCTACAAAATTTACAATGTGCAATTTTCCTCTCATTTTATTTATATTTGTATTATTTACAAATAATACAAATATATTTATATTTGTATTATTTTTGTATTATATTTTTATATTTATTATATTATATTTTTGTATTATATTTATATTTGTATTATAAAAATACAAATACAAATATATTTGTATTATTTCTATCAAGTCTAATTTTCTTTGACACATTTATAGTCACCAGAGCATCTAATTAAATGTGATTTTTTAAAAAATATAACATTGCTATGTGACTTTAGCCACTTTCAGTCTCACTTTGGTTATTTCTAATAATCTGCAGACTCATTTTTCTCAATTACTAAATGTGGGTTAATTGTTTGTAATAATAGTGCCCCTCTCCTGGGATTAGTGTGAGGATTCAGTGGGCCAGTGCATGTGAGCACTTATCACAGTGCCTAGGACAGAGTATGTACTTAATACATTATTCACATTCAGATTCTTGCAAAAGGCCCTTTAAGATCTGCCCTTCCCTTCCCGCCAACTTCTTTAGCCTCCTCTCCCTTTGGGTCAACTCTGTTCTGGTCTGTTTCCTGTTGTTTTATTTCTATATACCTTCACACAGGTTGGTCCTTCCACCTAGAATTTTCTCCTTCCTTCTTCCATCTTTCCCCTGCTCCTCAGAACTTTAGCTAATTCCTGTCTTTCCTTCAAAATGCAACTCAACTCTCATTTCACCCATAAGCTGTCCTGACTTTCCCCTTTCTCCCTCTCTGCTTCCATCCCATCTTGAAGACATTAATGGTGTCTTTCTGAGGACCTGCATTCTAATAAGAGCCCAGTGAAGGTTAGATGAGTAAATGAGTGTGCTCAAACATCCTTTCTCTACTGAAATGTCTTAACAGTCCACCAGTGCTCTGCTTTCTCTTTGCCTTCTTTCTTTCCCAGTCACTTCCTAAGAATTCCCACCACTCCCAAGCAAAACTCAGTGCACTCTACACTCTGCAGAGTGTGTCCCAACAGATGGCAGACGGACATACACCCTTTAAAACTTCCAACCCCATTGCAAAAGCAGGCAAATGTTCACATTTGAAAATCGCCCTAAACTTTGATATGAAATCTCAAAGCCTCACTATGACTGGATAGATCCTGCCTGCTCTGGCCTCTGCCCACCTCTCCAGATTTCTTTACCCTCATGCTGCCAGCAACTGGGCCACATAGATTTCTCCTTCCTCAAATGCACCTGCTCCATACTACTGTGGCCTTTACTCACAATGTTTCTGTCTTGAAACCTTGTTTCACACTCACACTCCCATTACCTGCATTATTTTTAAGTGTGACTCAGGCAAGGCTAGATCACCTGTTAAACAAATTCATAGGCACTACTGGGCTAGCACCAGTTAAATTTAGAGAACCTGGGTCGTGGCCCAGGAAAAAACATGACCTTTCTCTGTTATTCCATCTCTCTTTAAGTCTCAATTTCCTCACCTATTAAATGGGGGTATAACACTCATCATAGCAATAAAACTTTGTTGTTAAAAGCACCCAAAGGTGGAAGGTAATTTTTCACAATATCAAGAGCTATAAGAATATTCATTTCCATGGACCTAACATCCCACCCTTTTCCTATCCATCCACCCAGAATGTTTCCATGAATGGCACATTCCTAGATTATAGGCTCAAGTATATTTGAGCTGGGATGTGGATTATGTATGATTCCCATTTCTTTGCCACTCAAGAAGACGCATCCCAGTGAAGGGCATTCTGGAAATCATCTGAATTAAGTATATAATTCACCAAATGCAGCACATCACTTAATAAATTGTTTGCAAGTTCTACAACTCATTCAGACCCAGCAATGTTTTGGCACTCAGGTTGAGAATTGCCATCCTTATGAAATAAAAGAATGGAAAAAAGGGCACATACACTTAGGAGTTGTGCAATAATCAGTCCTCTGATCAGCTCTTTCATATCCATTTTCTCTTCGCCTGCTCATGAAGAGAGTCCTATGAAGTAGACAAAAGAGGGATTTATACTTTCTGGTCTCCAGGTAGAGCCATGGTTTTATATCCATGCAAAATTAGTTGTGAGCCTGCAGGCATGGCTACATAGAGAAGTGCTCAGAGATCATGCTGACTGGACTGCTAAGCTGGCTAAGCTGTGCTGCCTTGGGATGTCACTTCAGCCTCCTGAGTCTCCTTTTACCTCAAACTGCTTCCAGAGTCATTGAGTGGTTCAAATGGGGTAGTGGTGCCTTGAGGCGCTTTGAGGCATGAACACTACAAAAGTGGCATGTGTTAGCATGCTAACTTGGTCCCTGAGTTAGCACCAATAATAATGCTATGGATCCAAAACGTGGCTTTCCCTTTACCCCCTCATGTCAAGCAACACTCTAGAATTTCCAGTCAGTTTTCATATTGGCACGTCTAAGAGAAGGATGAAACACAATCATAACAAGGCAAAATAAATATTTATTAGAAATCATAAAAGGATTTCTTCCATGGCGCTAAAATATTCTTACTCTATGACTTCTTTCTTGGACACAGAGTCTCACACACACAATACCAAGAACAAGTAGGCAAATTAGAATTTACAAGAATCAGGCACATTCAGTGAGAACAGGTAAGAAATCTGTATTTGGGACCAAGATCACAGTAAAAATGTACATCCATTCAGAAATCAAGTATGCGTACAGGCCCAGATGATGGCCCCTCTCCCTGGGCCCCGCCCAGAGCAAAGGACTCCGCTCACCAGGCCTTGAGGAAGGGAAGAAACATCAATAACACTGGGCTCTCAGGCAGGAACCTTCCAGAGCTTAATGACTTCACAGTACAACCTCCCACAGTTTCTCCCACAGTTCAGGGAGCAAGGCAAGCACCATTTTTATTCCAACAGATACATCATGTGATGTCTAGAATAATGAATTCTTCCTCAGGCAGAGTTTAGCTAAAATAACTTGTCGACCAAAAATGCTAAACATGGAAGATTCCATCCCTGGAAAATTCTTACACCTTAAATTACTGAAATGTAAACCATGGAGATTTAAGATGTCCTGACACACCCACAGATTCATGGCAAGGTGAGTGGAGTGTGGTTTGTACACACTGGGTGCACACTTGAGTTTTAAACCCATCACAGGGACATAGGGACCATGTAGACTGCCAAATGAGTCATCTGAGCAAAAAGCCCTAAACCCCTGACATACACCAAATCCAAAAGGCAGGTTCAAAGTTGCTGAATAACTATACGAGAATAATAATGAGGGTGCTGGAGAGATCTGTGGTCCAGGAATCAGAACTCTGCAGCTCTAACAACTCTGAAATCACTTCCTGCATGACTTTGACCAAGTCCACCTTCCTTTCTGAGCTTTGGATGTAAATAAGGATCAAGTCCTTTTAAACCCATGTTCTTTGACTCATTGTTTCCCTACCTAGACTCAGACCATGTAGGCTGAAAGTCCTGGGGGGATGCCACCTATGGGGAGAGTATCCAGTTCAGAAAATAGTCCTGTCAACAAATTCCACCCAGACCCAGAGAGCAGCTCCCCATCTGTGAGAAGACAAAGAGCTCGTTTGTGATTTCTATTTGCCTCACTTCCCTTGCCTAACTAGATCTTTGTCTTTTTGCATAAGCAGGAAATGGAAAGCCATACAGCTTTATCCATCCATATCTAAGTCAAAACAATTCTGGAATTCCCAGCTCCATTGTACAGAGCTTGGCACCATGGATCCAGGTGACTGCCCTCCAAACCAGGACATCTGTTTGGGACAAACGTAAGTAGGTAATCCCAGATATGGAATGATGCTTTGGAGAATCTCAAAACTAGAAGGTCTGAGTGTCCTCTTTCACAGCATCCCTAATAAGTGCTTGCCCTGCTTCTGCTTACACGTCTTCAGTATCTGGAGCAGTTGCTGGGCTGAACTGAACAGAAATCTTTCTCTCTAAAATGTCCAACCTTTAGGACTAGTCCTGTCCATCTGGAACATATCTGCTCCTCCCCCCTGCATGACAACCTCCCCCCCCCCCCAAATCTTCCCTTCTCCAAAGGACATGCTTAGTCCCCTCCTCCCCAGCTCACTCCTCAGCTTGGTCTGCCCTGTGGCTTAGAGCCCAGCTTGGCTCCCTGGGGCTCAGGCGTCCAGGAGTTGCTGTAGACTGTGCAGCTGGAAGGCTACATCCTCAACCCAACTCCTGTCTCCCTGACCTGGCCCACCAGTGTACAGAGGTCAAGTTTCCACACCACCCTCAGCAAAGCTGCCTCACAGAGCAATCCAGAGTGAGAAAAGGACCCAGAGAGGATTGCCTGGCCTGTGCTCCTCCATTTGCTTCAAGTCAGATTAACTCACCAGTTCCCAAATTATCTAAATGTCAAATTTATTTTTGTGCCATTTAAAATTTAATCACATGGTTAATATGTTTATAGTTCTACCTTAAAAATTCCCACATGATTCCTTTTACCAGATAATTGCAACAGAGTGGATTTTCTGGTTGTTCAGGATCCAGTTATCTGGAAAATTTCCTCCACATCCACTTTACCTCTGGCCCCAAACTAACTCTGTGTGATTTCACAGGGAGAAAAACAAATGATGAGGGTCTAAAAATAAGGCCCAAGTCTGGGCAAACACTTCTCTCACACACCTTCTCTTCAACTTCAAAATTCACAGTTAACAAAAATACTTACTATCAGAGCATTTCAGGTATTTTGTTAAATTCCTCCAATGAGAAATACTGATGTATAATAGTAACCTCTGAGATTTAAGACCATATAAATAGAGCAGCTGCTATTTCTGTTTCAGATGAAGCCAGGATCCCAGTGCAGAGGCATGAACTTCTGCGGGACCAAGACAAGGAAAAGAGCCAAGATCTTTCACCCAGATCACAGAGGCCCAGCAGCCCGCCTGGCGTGTCTCGTGTGGATTTCTGTGTGCATAAAGAAAAGCTTTTTGTCCTTGCTCTGGCCGCCCTGAAGCCAAGTATGTAAATAATACTTACATCCCCAAATCCCAAAATCTCTTTTTCAGCTTTTAAAGTTACATACTTCATCTGAAGTAATTTTCATTCAAAAGTGAAATGTCTTTTCCCCATTGAAAATAAAAACCTTGTGCTAATTATGCTACTAAAAAAAAAAAAGTCTCCCAGTGTGAGACAGTTTGAGGCTGGGGGTGCCAAGGGCACTCATTCCAGGGGTGTTTCTTATTCTCTGAAGATTCCAGAAGAGCATTTCCGTAGCTTGTTGGCCTCCTCCTCCAGGATATCCGGCTTAGCTCAGTCCCCTGAGGACTCTGAGATGAAATCAAGAGCCCTTTAAATTCAGGAGGCCCAGTCACAGTTGGGGACTCTGTGGAGTAATCTTGGCTAGAAGAAAGACTCCCCTCCTTGCTCTGCAGGCCCCTGCCCTTTCCTTACCACCCTTCTCTCCCAGCTGAGCAGACCTGCAGCTGATCAAACAGCGACTTCACCCAGGACTTCAGGGACTCCCAGTTCTGCTCTCAGGACTGCTGGCCATGGGTTTACACACTCTGCCAAATTAACAAAATCCAGCGTGGCGGCATCCAGGGCGTTTTGCGTTCAGACTGACAACTGCCTCTCAGTTCAGTCACCCTCTCAGCATGAGGGTGCTTTCCACTTCTCAGCAGGCAGTCGGGCTCCATTCCTCTGCAGAGCCCTCAGCGCAGAGTCCAGGACCCCACCAGCAGCCTCAGATCGGCCCATGTTCACGCCAGCTCTGAAATGGGCACCATTTCTACACTGAAGTTTCTGGAAATTCATCCATTTCATCAAATGCATTGAGGGTGGTTTTGCTGTTGCTTCTGGAAGAATCTTGAATTTTGTTGAAATCCACTTTAAAAAAAAAAAAAACAAAAAACGCCAGTTTAGAAATATGGCACGCTGCAAAGCATTCTTCCATTTTTTTTTGTCATCACCTGGCTTTTTAGAACTTATTCCAATTAAGGTTATAGAATGTCAGATGAGGAAGGGACCTAAGGACTAATTTAATTCAAATCTCCCATTTTACAGACAGGGAAAATCAAGGCCCTAGGACCCAGTTTGTCCCAGGCCATGTGGTATGGGGGTGGTCATCACACTCTGACAGCATCAGTACCTGTCCGTCTCACAGGCCCTGGATCTTCATTGAGAAAGGAGACGTGTGTTTTCCATTCTGTCCACTTCACCTCGTTGATCCTGTGAGTGCAATAATCCTTTTCACTATTTTGTAACTTGCAGCTCATTAAATGCTTTCTGGGGATCAGGAACACTCCTGCTCCACACAGTCCTACACCAGCATTTGAAATTTGCCCAGGTTTCAAGAGATCAGTCTCCCCTGCCCCCAGTGTGTAGGACCCAGAAACCTGGAGAGGGATAAAGGATGCATCATCAGACTGCACCTGACTTCAGTCTGTGAGAGGGGCCCATGGGGAAGGAGGAAAGGAAGTGACGAGCTCAAGCTGAGGTGAGAGGGCATGAGGATTAAACCCCAAGTTTAGCTATGGTCCAGTTGTCCTAAGAGAAGAGAATGAGTAGGATTCAACCCCTCAGTGTGAGTCAGTGGAGTCTAAGGTGGGGGGTTGCAACTGGAGACGATGGTTTGGCTCACATACAGAGAACACCCCTAGAGTGAAGGTGTCAAGTTAGAGATATTTGGTAAGGTAATGATGATATGGTTTCCAAGTCGACATGTCAGTCAGAGAAACAGGTTAAACTTGTGCTTATAGAAGGTGGTCTGTGTGAGCAGACGGTCAGACAGAGCTTAGGAAGAGGTGGACACATCAGAAAAGATGGCTAGAGGATGTGCAAGGACTTTTTAACAATCAAAGCTAACTGTCTCATTTTCTGTTACATGCCAGTAACAAGATGGGCCTCAGGTGCCCTGGCGTCACATGACTCCCCACAGGAGTCTGTGGGGAAGACAGGACAAAGCATGCAAGGCAAGCAGATCTTTTCTAAACCAGACACCGGACAGGGAGAGGCCATGGCAGTACTTCCAGAAGGGCAGAGAGGAAACCTGCCTCCCTAGAACTTCATTCACTCTCGTTCTAAAGCCCGGATGCCTTGTCCTAGGGCCAGCGACTCCACAGAAGCAAATTCCATCTCCGAGAGGCCATAGCAGACTGTAGCTGGGGTATGGCGAGCAAGTGGCAGCGGTTTCTGTAAACTTCCCGGTCACTCTTTATCCACCCAGCCCCCTTGCTCACCGTAAGCACAGTCGGAAATCTTCCTCTGCCACCTTACACAGCTCTCCCATCCGGAATCTGCTCCTCAGCCACTCTGGTAACAGTTTTTCAAACTCCAAGATCGTCCTGGCTCTCTGGGGACATGAACAAGCCCACATGTGTCCCTGAGGAGCCCGCTCATGAACACAGCTCCTGTGAGTGTGTGTGCGTGTGCATGCATGCACACGTATGTGCACACAAACACACCACCAAATAGTTCGCTTCACCCCTTCACTTCATAATGCACAGATCCTGACAACTCAGCTAATCTACAGAATTCAAAATGAAAAACCAAAAAGTTTGGGAAAGGTGTTCAAAGTGCAATAAATAAAGATGTTTCTGAAAGGTCAGGCATTTCCTAGCTGAAAATGTCCCAAGGTGAAGGGAAGTTTAGACATCATGTAGTCCCACCCCCACCTAGTTTGGAGTCCCCCGGTCAGTTTTCCCTGGCAATGATTTGTCTGTGTCTCCTGAGTATTACCAACCTTCCAGTGAAGAAAGCCCTAATAATTAGAAATGTCCCTTTATCAAACCAAAGCTTTTCTCCCCGCGGTTGCCCCCATATACCTCAGGTCTTTCTTCTTAGGCCACAGAAGGAAGCTGCCCGCTTCTTTCACAAGGATCGGCCAATATCTGAAGGAGCTCTCACTTTCTCCAGCCCTAACCCAACACCACGACTTGTGAGTTTCCTGTCCTCTCCCAGGCCTGGTTATGACATCAAGACCCATCTGTGGGTCGTTGTCCTCAGCGTGTGAGGCCCACAGTTCATGAGGACTGCTGAGGCCACGATGGAGGACAGCAAAACTGTCACAGCCATTGTGCTGTACTTCATGCTCTGTTATAGCAGGCTGCCGCCACATTTCAGTGTCCACGTGTCACATCACTGACTAAGCAGTACGCCCCTGAACTCCAGAGCTTACCTTACAGGTGGCGTAGACCCTACACTAGGTAACCAAAACTAGGCTCCCTCCAGCCAGGCCTAGCACAGGGAACTCATGCACGTTCCCAAGAGCTCCAGCTGCACAGGTGCTGGAGCTTTCAATACTGTGTGCTGACCTGAGGCTCCTTGAAGGCCCCGCTCCAGAGTCTCTGCCAGGCTCACCTGGAGGCGCCAGATGCGTTCACTCTCCTTGGAGACGTTCTCCACTGTCTCCCCCATCAGGGCAATAAGCATGTTAAGGAGGAGGACGAAGGTGAGGATGACATAGGTGATGAGCAGGAACAGGAAGAGGATGGGATACTTGGAGTTCTGCTGGATGTTCAGATCGCCCAGGCCTATGGTGAGCTTGAAGAGTTCCAGCACCGCGTCACTGAAGCTGCCATAGGAGCTGCAGTCCTCCTTGTCCTTGGAACACTTCTCAATCAGTGAGGCCAGGGCTGGGGAGACATGACAGTATGGTCTTTTCAGCCTCTCTGCCTGATTAGTTACCCAGCAAGCTGGTGTGCATTTGCAGGTACACACATACACACGCATGCCATGCTGCCTCCCCTGTGGCTATTTAAATTCCTTCCCCAGCCTCAGCTTCTACAGAAGCCTCATAGGGCTAGGTCTCTGCTCTGACCTGCAGAAAGCCCTTCCTGCCTAACCAAGCTTATCCACCTCCTTTTCCTTCTCTACTCCACATTTGGACCTTGACTACACACAGACTTGCAGAGAGCTGATTATCATCCATGTGTGTCCCTGACTTCTCAACCATGCCCAGTAGCCTGGATTGTCTTCCCCATGACTGAGTGATCCTGCCTCTCCTCCTAATGTTCGGTAGTGAGATCTCCTGGCCAAGGCTCAGGGCTCAGGAGGGCCTCATCGCTAGATGGATGATGGATGGATGGGATGATCAAATTAATGAGTGAATAAAATGGATGGATCAATAAATTAGCAAGTGACAGAGCAAGTAAATAAGCAAATTGCGTCCCAGAAAGGGTATCAGGAATAGCTACCTAATTTCAAATGCCAATGATGGTGAAAATGAAAAAAGATGACCCAGCCATGGGGAGTATTAAAGTCACATATCTCTATGCTGCTGCGGAGGTTAGTAATAAAATCAGGCTGTGCTGTTCCCTCTTCTGTAAATGGAGAGATTCTTGGAGAGGATGCCCCATCCTTGGTGCCTCACAGACCAGAGGCTCTCAGATATATCTGAAGCAAAGGAAAGTAAGGTGTCATGGAGAGCCACTGAAGTCAGCTAAAATTTATTATTTTATGCCTATTTTTCAAAGATCATCAGTCAAATTCCTGCAAATTTTAGTTCCTTCTCTGCAAAACAGGGTCAAAAATACCTGTCAAGCCTATTTCAGGTTGTAAGAACCAAGTGGGGGGCACACCATTCAGAATGAATGGCTAAGAGTGACAGGCTGGAATCCTGGAGTCTCTGCACTCAGTTACCTTGTGATGGGCGGGGGGTGGGTTGTGATGATTCCCCCTGGGTCAAGATATCCTGAGGAGTAAAAAAATAAAGCTTGGAAAATACTAAGGGCGACAAGTGCCCCACTGGTAGTTGGTGTGATTGTTGCTGGGGCCGCCATATACTATGTCATTTTGACATCTGCATAAAGTGCTTTACAAACGTAGGAGTCACTGTAATTATAAATCAATTACCTACTCCAAATCCAAGTAAAAACACGATATATACAAACAAGAACTTCAGGACATCATGCAAAATGACCTATAAAGAGAGAAACATAATTCAAGGGTTAGGTGCGAACACGTATTTTCTATGCACTGATCACCTTACAGCTTCCCACCCCCTCCAAAAGCCTTCCCTTCTATTTCTGCTCTCTACCCTCCTCCCCCCACCCTCTGCACGCACTCTCTCTCCAGCCCTGCTGATTCACTCAATAATAGCACCTTTCTTCGTAGAGTCACAGCTGCCTACAATCCTCACACTTCCTGGGACAGTGGTGTGCTGGAGCCAGCTCATACCAGCTTGTTAGAACTAATTGTCACTTTTTTTTTTTAAGATTTATTTATTTATGCATACAAGAGCTGGGGTATAGGCCAGAGGTGTGGGGAGAGAGAGGATTCACCAGAGACAGAGTGGGGAGCAGAACAGGCAGACTGACTGAAATACACTGCTGAGGGGAGCAGTAGGTGAGACAGGAGAGGTCTGCTGCACCATGTGGATCACCTCCCTGGCCAGGGATCGAACTTGTACTGCAGTGGCAGCAGATAGCTTCATTGTGCTGCATCTTAACCCCTTGTGCCACGAAGAAGGCCCCATTTGATGTTATATAAACTTATCAAATATATTAAAAACAAAGAAAATACTCAAAACTCATTACCTCCTAGTTATTTTACTACATTTGACAATTATCTAGATTAAGTCTTTGAGTTAAGTCTTTGTTAGCCATATAGTGAACATCTCTTTTCAACTCCATGCGCAATGACATCATGCTTGAAGTTAGGGTCTCCAGGGTGGGAGTATTTACACCACAGAAATTGGCAAATGCTACAAATCAGAGAGTGACTTATTGTTGTGTTGACTGTCTAATCTAGACCTAAGTAGCCACTGAGAAAATGTTAAAGTTGCTTAATTTAAAAAAAATTGTCCTCTCTGTAGCCATTACACTGTGAACAGCACAAAAATATTAATGAAATAGCCTTTGAATGTTTGAAAACTATTATCCAGTTCAGCCAATAAGCGGCTCCCCTTGCCAACAAAGAAGTGAAGCTCCAACCCAAGTTTGCACCATTTCACTTTCATTTTACTCCTTAAAAACATTAATCAACATTTATGTTGGCACAACACTAGTTTGTCAATTGCAAGCCTAAGCTGGCAAGAGATACAAGACTTCAACAAAAATCAACAGATTATTTTGCCAGACTCAACTAGCTATGTGGAATTTATAGTAAGAAGAACTGTATATTTTATTATTTGTAAGTTGTGTGCCACATATCCTTTATATGATAAGATTTATAATAAACACATCTCTGTGTGTATACACATATATGCATGTGTGTGTATATATGCACATATATATGTATGTATGTATGTTCCCCCCCCACTCACCCAGGAAGCCGGTTGTTAAGCATTCACTAGAATACTACTGCGTTGGGGTGGCCCATTCCTTCACAAAGTATGTTCCTTCCCAATGCCCAATAAGTCCATGTGTTTTAAGGCCTGGACACCCATCAGCTGACCAAAGGCAAAGACTCGGCGGCCCCAACACACCTTCTGGATCATGACGCTGTACATGCCCATGGACTGGAATCCCCGCGTGTAGTAGAGCATGTTCGCCCAGCCCAGGGCCATGGCCAGCACGAGGCAGGCGAGGTACTCTTTGTAGGCAAACAAGTACAAGAAGACAGACAGTATCACAAGCACTGCTTGGACAAAACTGTTCAGGAGACACAGGAGACAAGGGCCTTACTTACTTCTCTGCACGCAGCATTAGGGCAGAGATATTCAAATCCCCCAACCTCCCTTAGGCCGGAACGACCTGTCACCCTGCTGGCTGATGCAGTCTTTTTAAAACTGCTGATTCCCAGGGCCCCAGGAGACCCTGGTTCAGAAGGCCTAGGAGCAACCCAGCAAGCTGTATATTTTTTTAATCACCAATGTGGTTTCTGGTTCCCCAAAAAGATTGGGGACCCACTGAGGTTCCCCACTGAGGATGCAGCAAATGATAGCATTTTTTAACAAAAATGACAACGCCGTCAACATCTATACTTATAAGTCATTCATAGCAAAAGTCTTCCAAAACCTACTGTTTTATCCTTGGGGAAAAAGTACAATATATGCTAAGTGAAATAAGCTGTCACAAAAAAACAATACCATATGATTCCACTCCTCCAAGCACCTAAAGCAATCATATCCATAGAAGCAGAAAGCAGAAGGGTGGCTATGAGAGGCAGGGGAGCTGAAGGGTAGGGGCTTGCTGTTTTATGGAATGGGGTTTCAGTTTTGCAAGACAAAACAGTTTTGCAAGTTCTGGAGACTTGCACAACCACGTAAATGTACTTAACATTACTGAACTGTACACTTAGAAATAGCTAAGGTGGTAACTATTTGGTACAATATATACCAAACATAAGACCAAAATCTATTCCTAAACAGTGTGTAGACTTTGGATCCAAACCCTCTCCTGCTTATACCATCAGGCAGACTCCTCGGTTATACCTACCTAGCTGAAGCTGGGCCATGATACAAACACTTGGATAATGGGTGCGTTTGGGACTGAAGTGAGGAAGCACGTCTACACCTTCCTCTGTACTAACAAAGCAAGTAAGCAGAGAGCAGACAATGCATTGGTGTCTTTTGTCTGCACTAAAGCCAGAGGCTGCATAAATGTGTTTTTCTCTGGAATCGTCTTGCTCTCTCAAAGGTGACAGACTCACACAGCTGGCATTATCGGGTAGTGCTGCACCTGGCCTATCCACTCCACACCCACCACAGGGATGAAGAAAATGGTCCATGACTCTGGAAGGCAGGGACATACTTAATAAAACACTCAGATACTTGGAAACTTCAGGTCAAGAGTCAAGGTCGATAGGCCCAGCCTGCCGTGCTCAGAAGAGGGGTTTGAGTGGGGTCTACAGAGCCTGGAGCTCAAGATTCTTCACCCTCTTGCTGCAGATTCTGTCTCATCCACACCATGAATGCTGAATTGGCCTCTGTTCATTTACAACCAGGGGTCACATAAGCCTCTGACATCGGCTGCACATGACCTCACTCAGAGAGTCCACTCAGCTGGGCTTTCTGACAAGGGTGTGTCGCAGCCGTGCCTGCACTGGCTTGGGGTGTGGACACCAGGGAGTCTGGGACTGGCTTCCACACTAGTAAGCTCCCTGTGACTGTGAGTGGCTCACTTCCCTGTTCTGGGCCTCGGTTTTCATGCTATAGATGAGACTGTGCTTTATTTTGTACCTTCCAGCCCTGATCTGTCAGGACCCAAGATGGCAAGTTCTAAACCCCACATAACCAGGAGGAATAGGCCTGGAATGTCCCTTCAGAAAACAGCATGATAAGCCTCCTCTTGCCTCCTCTGTGGGCTTGCCTCCACACGGGGCTCCGGCAGGCAGGGGCAGCCATCACTGCAAGTAGACAGCTGGCACTACCCCTAGGATTTGGGGTCCTCCCATGGGCATCTGTGGTTCTCTTATTAGGAGGGAGAGAGGAGACCTCTAGTCATGTGACCACAGCAGAGTGATGGTGACATTGTGGGGTGGCTCTTGCACAGGGACACAGAAGCCACCCAACAGGACTTTATTCCTGCCCACCAGGCGATGACCAGGGGGCAGACCTACTTACAAGACGAAGTGAAACCAGGCATCCGAGAGGATGGACTGCAAATCCGAGGGTCTCAGCAGGAAGATGGCAATTCCCTAAGGCCAGAGAGCAAAGAAAAGCTGTGTCCCCTCCACACTCCTCACCAGAGGATCTCAGGAAGGGGGTGTTTCCCCAGAAGTGAGATTCAGTGAGGGGAACACCGTGCGATGGTCCAGTCAGAGCCAGAGAGAGATTTGGAAGGGGATCTGCGCCTGGGGGGACAACCCCAGGTTGAGTGGATCTTCCACAGGCTTACATCTCTCACTCCTACCACCATCCTCACCCGGGCACCTGCAAAGCGGCATGACTGCACAGTTACCCACCATTCCCAAACACAGCCGTGTTCGCTAGCCCTGGCGCCTGTGTTTATGCTGTTCCCCACAACAGCACACCACCCTGTATGACCCTGTCCTCCATGTCCCATTCTACCCTACCAGCATAAGCGCACTCTGCTTTAAGCCTTCCCTCTTCCTTCTGCCCCATATAGGAGCCATCTGTCTTCCTCTGAGTTCTGGTCTACACCCTACGTAGGTATTTTTCTAGGTCTATTTTAATCTAGATTTCAGTCGAATCTATGTTTTTTGGGTCTATTTTAGACTAGATATTAGGGTCCATCTGAAATCCCCCATCAGACTTCAAGTTCAAAAGGGCAGAGTGTCTCTATCCCTATCCCCAAGATCTCACACTGCACATCTGTACCGTATACACCTGTTGAGTCATTGGTTGGATGAATGGATGATGGATGAATCAATTTTATCAACTGATCAATTGGGAAATCAATGGAAATATGGTTGGATGAAGACTGGAAGAACAGTGGGTACAGACGAGAGTATGTGAACTGATGAATGAATGGCTGGGTCAATGAAGGCAACAGGTGATTGGATGCATGATTGGAGGGTAGAGAGGGATGGCGCACTGAGTCTAGGAAGGTAGACAAATGGCAGGGGTAGATGACAAATGGATGCAGGGGTACATAGATGAAATAAATAGGATGGGCCTGCTTATTTGCTTGTTCCCATTTTATAACTAGAAAATCTAAAACCTAGAAAGGAAATGCCTCCCCAAAGACCCCAAGCAGTAATGGCAGAACAGGGTTTGATAGAAGCCAGGCCTGTTGACACAGCTCCTTGCCTTGCAGGCCAGTCCAGATGGGCCTAGTGGTCCACTGACCTCTTTCACAGAAATGCACATGGCCCAGATGAGCACAAACATCCTTCCTAGGAGCTGCAGCCACCCCATCTTGTGCGTCAGAGCCAAGGGGTGTGGGAGAGCCTGGGGAGAAAGGAGAAGAATGGATGGGATCAGGATGGGAGTGAAGCGGGCGGGGTGGCACCAGCTGGGGAAGGGTCCTTACACATACACCTGCCAAACCCTCCAGCCTGACCAGAGGCCAGAATGAAGCCCAATTCCCGTACAGGATAAGAAAAGGACTGGCGGACCCCTTCTCCTCCTTCCTCACCCACAGTGGGAACTCACAACTCTACAGTGAGGATCATGAGCCAATCTATACTAACAACCCCTCACACCTCATGGCTCTGTCTGTTCCAGAACCATCCATATCCAGACACTCACAGGGCCTCACCACATAGTTAAATACAGCCCGAATGCTACACCCTTTGTGATGAATGAGAAACTGAGGCCCAGTATGGGGGGAAGCCTTATCCAAGTGATCTCCCCTCCTCCCTTTTCCTGCGGTCCTCACAGCAAAAGTTCCAGATTTAGACAAAAGCTGGGCAGAGCCTCAGTCTCCTAATTCTCCAGCTCTCCCCGCAACATAGGTCAGCCAGTGGCTGAGCACCTGGGCTTAGCTCAGCTAAGCACTGGAGACACACTCAGAAACTGTGAAGGGCAGCAGGTGAACCCCAGGCACAGCTCTGGGCCTCAGTTTCCCTATCTTCACATGGGGCAGCTCAAGATCCTGCAGCTCTGGCCACCCCATCACCCCCCACCCAGGGGCCCACACACCTCCTCCTCCCGGGGACGGTAGTAGGAGACGAGTGTCAGGGTGATGTTGTAGAAGAAATAAAAGCAGAAGGACAGGAAGAACATGTACTGGGCGAACTTTTTCCACTTCATCCGCAGCAGCGTGTGCAGGGGCTCCAGGGTCAGCATCTCGTGTCGGTTCTGAGGGAGGAACACCAGCAAGCCGCCACGGAGATGAAGGGGAAAGGGAGCATTGTCATAGATCCCCATTTCAAAGGGAGCTCTGTGCTTCCAGAAGGAGGAGCTGACACTCGATGGGACAGAGGGACAGAAGCGCATGGGGCTTGACTGGCATTCTGGCACAGTTAGAGCCCCCCTCACTCTGTGACCTTAGGAAAACCTCTGGACCTTAGGAAAGGTCCTCTCTGGGCCTCAGTCTCCTCATCTATAAAACTGCTATCGCTCAAACTTCCCCACCAACCAGGTTGCCGTCAGGGTCCAGAGAGACCCCAAATAAGGCAGTCTCTGAGAAACATGACCCTTGGTAAAATATGAAGGTTGAAAATTCAGCCTGCTGCCTCACTTCCCCCAGTAGCCCAAAACCTCCCCCACTTTGCTTCCTCCAGGAACTGATTGCTTCAGTTGTACAATTATTTGGAGTCACATTTGGAGGAAGAAGGGGTTCTATGTCTGGCTATACAGGACTGGTAAGGTGAGTGGGGGAGAAACAAGATGGAGATCAACACTAACCACCCCAATACTCAAATTGCCCAGGAAGCTGGGCCCAGGAGACCCCCATCAGGTCAGCTAGGGACAAGTGAATGCAGAACCTGCCCTAGGTCCTGCCCTTCCTGTGCTGACTCCACTCACTGAGGCAGAGGAGTGGGGACTACAGATATGTCCAGCCTGTGTTATGAGTCTTCCCAGGGTCCCCAAAAGCCTTTGCCTTCCCCTGCCCACCAGGGAGACCCACATCAATGTTGGTGTTGTAAACGATGATTTCCAGGACTGAGTTGTCTGTCGTGGTGTCCACGTTGGTGAGGTCGTAGAGTGAGGATGACACAGGCCCATAGGCCCAGTCAGTGAACTTTCTGGATAGGCTCCGGAGCGACTTCTCCTTGATCTCACGGCTGAGGATGTACTTCAGGATCTGGGACAGGAAGAGGAACAACTGTGAGCTGAGGAATGGGGCTTGTGGTCAACGGGGCTTCCACCAAGGAGGGACTGAGCCCTGCCTCTGAGCCTGACTTGGTGACCCCTGGACCTGTTTCGTCCATGAGTGAGTGAGAAGCTGTCTGTTCTGCCATCTCACTGGAGTCTGTGAACACCAGACAGGAGCAGAGGCTGTTTGCACACTGCAGGAGGCTGCACATTCAACTCACACATCCTTGTGCTAGGGGGGAACCTGTTTGTCGAAAAATCCAGGAACTGGCAATTTTCAAAAATACTTTCTGTTCCAGAAAAAGCTAGAAGTTTCTCCAGTTTCCCCTCTGCCTCTCTCAGTCAAAACCCTGCCAGCTGAGGCTCACTGCTCCAGCGAGGCGGGGGTGAGGGGGGATGAGGGGGGCGATGCAGGACACCAGCCCTACAGCGAGGCCGTGGGGTCCACCAGATCAGCAATCAAACATATTAGGATCATTTATTACATAACGCATATTACTGCATGTTAGGATCACTGGGGAGCATTTAAAAGTCTCACTATCCAGTAAGTCAATTAAATAATTGCACAACGAGAGGCACATGTATCTCGTAAAGCTGCCTGGGTGGCTCCAAAGTGCAGATGAGATGGAGAGCAGCTGCTCTCCAGTTCACTACCTCCCCAAAGCTGGGCCTAGGTTACCCCAGGATGGGGGCCAGGGCTTCCTGGGGCACCAACCCAAGAGCCAAGAGCAGAGTCCAGTTGGAGGGGACAGTGTCAGAACCCTGGTCTCTCATGACTCTGTGGGGTTCCCATCTCATCTCACCCAGAAGCCTTCAGTCCACAGCACAGGCAGGGAGCTCCTGGGTCTGGGAGCCTCTGTCTAGAAGAGTACCCAGGGGTCTGTGCCTAAGTCTCATTGACCCTCCTCTTCCAACATAGTGGCCAACTTGGCAGCACCCAGAAAGGTTTTCCAAAGAACACTGAGTGAAGGAGAGAAGGGGCAGGAAGTGTGGAGGAGCCTCCCCAAGACTGGCCACAGGGACACTTTAAATCCTAGAAAGCAAAGGGTTTGGGGGAACCATGCTCCAACAAGAAGCCTTGCACAGGGGCTACCCCCAAGAAAAGCATGGGCCACAGCAGCCTGCAGGAAGGAGACCCTTCAGGAAGCTCAAGTGGCAACCACAGCCTGACTCTCCTCACAGTGCGCAGCGAGCCTTGTCTCTGGGGTGGGCAGGAGGCGGGAAGCAAGCACACAATTCCTCCTCTGTCCAATTCCTCTCCTTTGTCCCTCACCTCCTGCCTACAAAAGAATAAAAGGCCCCTTGTGGGCTGTAACCCTGACCACTGCGACATGACCCAAGGCCCTCAGGACATCTGCCTCCCTGGTCAGCTGCCCTGAGGCATCACCCTTGTGACTGCACAACAGCCACCCACACAGCAGCATTCTCCATAGCCTCCCAGGAGCCACAGTCCCTGTCCAGGTCTCGGAGACTGGTCTGTGACCCAGTCCCAACCTGAGCACTGACCTTAATCTGAGACCAAGCCATGACTCCGGTCACTAACGGAGACCTGAGCCCACCTGGCCGGGTCCTCACCAAGGTCTCCACCTAGCCGTGAGCTCCTGGATCATGCAGGGCACACAGGGCCTCAAGCAGTCACACTGCTCTGCTGGGGTCTTGGCTCAACTCCAATCTGACAGGCTGGGGTGACTGGGAGTTGGCGTGCCCAGCTCCAGTGAGGCACAGCTCATTGGCTCTCCGTCCAGAGCAGCCATGCTGGGACTTCCATCCTCCAGGAGGCCACAGGCCCTGCAGGTCAGACCCCCAGGCTCCTCTCAGGTCACTCACACTGTGTCAAGGTCCCCCTCCACTCTGCCCCAGAAGCAGGGTCACAGCGCAAAAGATAGACAGCAGGGCCTCCCCGGTGGCGCAGCGGTTGAGCGCTGGGCTGCGGGGCTGCCCGCAGCCTCTGCAGCGCCGGTTCGATCCCCGGCAGCAGGCGAGGGTCCCACATGGCGCGCAGACCTCTCCTGCTGCCCGCTGCTCCCCTCAGCAGTGTATTTCGTAGGTCTGCCTGTTCTGTTCCCCCTTTGGCTATGGTGAATTCTCTCAGCCTCCCGTGCTTCTGACCTACCCAGTGCTTGTATAAATAAATAAATCTTTAAAAAAAAAAAAAAAAAAAGATAGACAGCATCAGGGACCAAAGCAGAGAGGGTCCCACGGCCTGCGCCTCTTATGCTTTGTGTGTGGTCGCCGGGATGGGTCCCCAGGGCTGGCAGAGTGGCCATGAGCCTCCCGCCCCACCGGCTCCACCCTGAGCCACACCTCGGCCTTGCCCATCTTGGCGGCCAGCTGCAGCGGGGTCAGGCCGTCATTGTTGCGCATGGTCTCCAGCTGCCAGTTGCCGCTCCTCAGCAGGATCATGTCGTACATGCGCTTCACGAAGTCATTCTGCGTCTTGAAGTCCTCGGCCACCGTCACCAGCGCGTGGAGGATATTGTTCCCCCGTGAGTCCTGTGAGGTGATGTCCGTCTGCTCGTTCTCCATCAGCAGCTGCACAATCTCAGGCTGATTGGTGCATGCTGCCAGGGCGAGGGGTGTCTCACCTGGGGAAGAGGCACCACTGAGGCTTGGTTCTCTCATGAACTGGAAGTGGGGTACCCTATCCCCCAAGACCAGGGCCAGCATCTCAACCATCTCAGTAAGAATGACTCCTGAGTTTCCCTTTCTCTGTCTCCCCTTTGTAGGAGGGAGGGTGTGAGGGGGAGGGGATGGGAGGGGCGAACTGAAACTGGATCATTGTAATAGCCTCGGTGGTCGCTCTGTCACCCTGGCCCGCCAACACTATACTCAGCACAACAGCCAGACCAATCCTATTAACATGTAAGTCCCACCTCACCCAGTATAAAGGCTCACATCCCAGCAATGACCCATAACACCCTATGTCTCCTGACACCATCTCCTCTCTCCCTCGCTCACTCCCCTCAGCTACAGTGGGCTTCTTCCTTTTTCTTGACCACATTGGGCATTTCCCTACCTCAGGACCTTTGCACAGGCTATGCCCTCTGCCTATAGTGCTAGTCCTAAGCTATCTGCATCACTCCCTCCCTCAGCTCTTTTAAGTCTTACCATAAACATCACTTTTTCAATGAGTTACCCTAACTGCTTTATTTAAAATTGAAACCTCTGTTTATAATTGGTGGTCTTTCTCCCATCTAGCATATGTTATAGGAGGGCTTGGCCCTTTGTTTGTTCATCAATATATTGCAAACACCTAGAAGAGTGCCTGGTATATACTGTACAAGATCAATAAATGTTTGTTAAGGATAGAGAAGGCAGTGACTCGTGCACAGTCCCACAGCAAGCCTGGGCCAACACCAGGACTGCACAGCAGGTCACTGCTTCCCTGCCCACCTCCCTCCTCGTCCCTCTCTCCATCCCACCGGACAAATGCTTCCCAACACAAGCTCCAACCGGGTCTGATGCTGGGCATGATGAGAAGAACTGGACGAGACCTAGTTCTCTGGGCGGCCCAGGCCCAACTGGTCTCACTGGCCAAAAAATCACCCAGAAGCAAAAAAAAATCAGGTCATGAGACAGGGCTGGATGGAATTCCGGCTGACTATAAAATTGTGGGGGAAATTTTGGGGTGTGATGGAACTGTTTGTTTTCTGTCCTGATCATGGTGTTGGTTACACAACTCTGCATTTATGGAAATGAACTGTACCTTAAAGGGGGTGAATTTCCCTGTAACTAAATTATACATTAAAAAAAAGTAGGGCCTCCCCAGTGGCCCAGCGGGTTGAGCGCCGTGCTGTGAAGCTGTCCGCAGCCTCTGCAGTGCAGGTTCAATCCCCACCAGCCAGCGAGAATCCCACATGGTGCAGCAGACCTTTCCTGTCCCCCCCGCTGCTTCCCTCAGCAGTGTATTTCTGTCATCTGCCTGTTCTGTTTCCTGCTCTGCCTCTGGTGAATCCTTTCACCCTCCTGCACCTCTGACCTGTACCCCAGCTCTTGTATGCATAAATAAATAATTAAAAAAAAAAAAGTAAAAGTCATTCACCCAGAGCTTCCTAACCCTATTGCTTTTGGACACTGATGTGTCAGCCCGGGAATGCTCATCCCTCACTTTTGACTGCCTGTTTGCCATCCTGAAGGACAATGGGAACAGGGGACAGAAGTCAGAGCTGGCCTGCAGGACACCCACATCAGCTCCTTAGTGTGCCAGGACGAGTCATTTCTCAGAACTTGTCTCCTCACCGCTAAATAGAACTCCTTCCTTGGTTTCCCTCCCAAGTCTCTGTCCCCACTAAGGGCTGCTCAGGTGGATGGATGCCTGGTGCCTGCATTCCCAGGTGACACTCCCAGAAGGGAGAAACCTGCCTCCTACCTCCCAAACTCTCTCCCTCTCTCTCTGGCCCTCCCTGGCAGTCTTCTGTTGGATCTGCCCCTGCCATCCCAGCTTCTGGTTCTGTTCCCGCACCTGATACTTGTACCCTGCCCCATGGGGTACCCAGTCCCCAGCCAGCCGGTGCACCTCTGGGCAGACCCAGGCTTGCAGAGAGGGGCGGGGCGACCCCGATCCCGCCGTCCTCCAGGACCCTGCCCCCCAGCCCAGGCCAAGAGGTGTGGCACGCACCGAAGTAGAAGCCTTCGTGCAGGTACTTGGGGTTGAAGAAGACCCCCTTGGCGTGGGCGTTGACGTCGGCGCCAGCGGCGATGAGCACGGCCGTGATGTCTCCCTGCCGCCGCTCGATGGCGATGTTCAGCGCGGTCTGCCCTGCAGACGGGTGGGGATGGGAATGGTGGGGAGCAGGGACCGGGCCGCGGGGCCCGACTGGCACATCCTCTCTACCAACTTCCAGATGGAGGGGACCCCAGGGCTGGGGACGGGCCCATAGGGGTGGGAGGTCAGGCTGACTGTCCCACCCAAAACAGCCTTTTCCAAAGAGCTGCCACCAAGCCACCTATAAAATATAAAATCCTGAGGATTAAAGAACCAAGCACCTTTGGAAAATGAAAATTTGTTTATAGCTAACCTCTTGTTAGGGAAAACCTTTCTAAGCAAGATCCAAAAAGCAGAATCTATAAATAAAAACTTGACATGCTTGCTTACATTAAAAAATGATGACTGTATTCCAAAAGAACTTTCTTTTTTTTTAAGATTTATTTATTTATACAAGCACTGGGTACAGTCAGAAGCGCCGGAGGGTGAGAGAATTCACCAGAGCCAGAGCGGGGAGCAGAGCAGGCAGAAGGACTGAAGTACACTGCTGAGGGGAGCAGAGGGTGAGGTGGCCAGGGATCGAACCGGCGCTTTAAAGGCTGCGGGCAACTTCGCAACCCAGCGCTTAACCGCTGTGCCACCGAGGAGGACTCAAAAGAACTTTCTTAAAGAGAGTTTTTTAAAAGGGACAGGCAGGAGAAAATGTTTCAGGTGTATAAAAAAGACATTGCTTTTTCAATGCCCAAAATATACGATTTGACAGAAAGACAAACAGAAACAGAAAAGATTATTAACAAGCACCACATAACAAAGAAAATATGTCAAAATAGTCAATGAGGAAAATGAAAAATGTTTGGAATCACTGGTAATCAGAAAAAAATGAAGATTACAACTTAATGAGTTAACACTTTTCACTCATCAGATTGGCCACAAAAAAATCAGAATTTTCAATACTGGTGAAGGTTGGGGAGTGGGTAGTTTTGCACCTTGTGAAGGGAGAGCTAATTAGTATTTTGGAGGAAATTTGGCAATAACCATTATTATGCTAATGTACATAACCTTGAACCCAGACAATCCAATTCAAGTATTTTCCTAAAACACAGGTATACACTCCATAGGGTCATAGACAATAATGTGGATGTTGTCATAAGAAGAACCCAAAAACCACCTGGATGTCAATCAGGAGGGGAACGTGGTATGACTACCCTGTGGTAGCCGTACTCAGACCAGCAGTAAAAAGGAGGCAGACTTTCATGTTCTCTCATTAGAAGTTGTCTAAGACATGTAGTTAATCAAAAAAATTGTAAGGCAATACAAACAGAACAAGACTATTTTGTTAAATAGATAGATGAATAGATAAAACTGTTTTCATGTGCATATATACATCTATGCCAAATGCGTAGAAAAGCTCTCAAAGGATACCAGCATAATATATAATTGTCCCTGCAAAGGAGCATGGGACACAAAAGAAGAGGGTTTTTTTTTCAATTAACAATGACATTTTACTCGTGTTGTTTATTTAGTTAAAAGTAAACTATTCTTTTGAATCCAGGTGATGGCTATATAGAGGTTTGTTATGCTAATATCATGAGTGTATATTTAAAAATTTTTATATTAAAATGTTTTCATTGAATAAATTCTTAGAAGAAATGCCTATGATAAATTGCTGAAAATAATAACATTAATAAAGTTGTTCACGATGGTATGAGGTGAGAAATCAGCTACAAGAAGAGAACTATAAAAATCACAAACATAAGAAGAATAAACAACATACTACTGAACCACTATCGGGTCATCAAAAAAAAAAAAAGGAGAAATGAAAAATATCTGGAAGCGAATGACAATGAAAATACCGTTAGACACATACTAGAATCTTTGGGATGCAGCAAAAGTAGCAGTAAGAGAGAAGTTCGTAGCAATATAGGCTCATCTCAAGAAATAAGAAAATCTTACACAATGTAAACTCACACCTAAGGGAATTCATAAAAGAAGAGCAAAACCCAAAGTCAGTAGAAGGAAGGAAATAATAAAAATCAGAGTGGAAATAAATGAGTTAGAAAGCAATAATACAAAAGATCAATGAAACAAAGCTAGTTTTGGGGGGAAATATCAACCAATTGACAAAATGTTGGCTAGGATTAAGAAAAAAAAAAGAAAACACTCAAATAAAATCAGAAATGAATGCAGAGACAGCCCAACAGTTACCACAGGATCTTAAGAAACTACTATGAACATCTAGATGCCAACAAATCAGACCACCTAAAAGAAATGATAAATTCCGTGGTCTCCCTGGTAGCTCAAGGGGTTAAGCACAGCACTATGAAGCTATCTGAAACCTCTGCAGCACAAGTTCGATCCCCCGCCAGCCAAGGAGCTACCCACATGGTGCAGCAGACCTCTCCTCTCTGCCCACTGCTCCCCTCAGCAGTGTATTTCAGTCCTATTCTGTTCCCCACGCTGTCTCTAGTGAATCCTCTCACCCCCCACATCTCTGGCCTGTTCCCCAGTTCTTGTATGCATAAATAAATAAATCTTCAAAAAGAAATGATAAATTCTTCAACCATACAACCTCCCAAACAGATTCATGAAGAAAAAGAAAACCTGAACAGGCCAGCCACAAGTGAAGAAATCAAAACAGTAATCAAAAACTACTCAAAAACACAAAAATGCAGGGCCAGATGCTTCACTGGTGAATTCTAACCAACATTCAGCCCCTCCTGCAGGCAGGATACCTTCGTAGGCCTCCTCTGTGTACTCGGCATTGATGAACCTCTCCAGGATGCCATTCTCCTCTGCAAAGGCCAGCAGGATCCGCACAATCTCCTTGGTGTTGGGGTTAATGTTTAACAAGGCCTTCATCAGGCAGGTCTTCCCTGTGTCGGAGGCTGTCAGCTTGTGCATGAGGAAATCTGCAGATGGGGTCATGGGACAGAGTCACAGGAGGGGCCTGCTGCCCTTGGCCCTCCTAGTCCAGGGGTAGGCCAGGGTGTGGGGCCTGCAGTCCAGACCTAAACCCCAGCTCCCAGGCCTCATGCTGGCTTCCCTCTCTCCCCCTCTGTTCCCCTCTGTCTCCTTTGCTAGCTTCTCCGCAGCTGTGAGCCTCATAGGAGGCCATCTGCTCCTTGCCTTCTGCGCTATCTGCATGGTAGAGGCAATCTCACCCACTTCCCGCTCTCCACCTCAGTGCTGATACCGTGAAATCTCCTGCCCACCTCTTTCTGGTAGCCTACAAAGAGAATTCATTGCCTCCCTTTTAATCTGGCCTCCTCTCCTGGTCGCCAACCCAGCATGGGCTCTAACACTGAGTTTGTCACTGATGGCACCACCCTGGACTCCTCCCTCTCCCTCACTCCCCATGCCCTGTGTCCTGCCAATGCCACTGCCCCAAACACTGTTTCCTTTCACCAGCAGCTCCCTCCATGCAGTAGCCAGACCATGACCCTCACCTGTCTACGCCGTTCCATGGCTCCCGATTGCCCTCATAGTCACATTCTAAGTCCCCAGCCCAGCTTTCAAGGCTGGTGGGGGTGGGAGGGGGGAGAGACAGGTGGTCAGGGGAGCCAAGCAGAGCCTGTACCCTCTGCTAGAGCCGGGTACTGACCAGGCACATCTAAGCCACGGCGCCGTTTGCAAAGCTCCTGCAGCTCCACCAGCAGCTCCAGCAGCTCCTCCACGCTGCCCTCGGACACAGCCGCAAAGATGCATTTCTTCAGCCGCTTCTTTTTTCGCCTCTGCTCTTCCTTGGCCAGGTTTACACTGAGGCCAGAAGTTGTTTCCAGCTCACCACACATGCACCACCTCTGCACTCTCCCCTACCCCCGCCAGAGCCACTCGGCCAGCCCCCAACACCGCCACGTGCCTGTCACCATCCTGAACTGCCCGCTTTAGTGCTCCGGTGCCTGGGATCCATGTTGCTTTCTGGTGGACAACCAGGCTCCCCGTCTAACCCACATGCAATCACACTGTGTCAGATACACATGTGGAGGCACTCAGAACCATCACAGCCACCATCACTGGCGATTACCTCGCAAGCAGGGCATGAGGGGAAACGGAAGTTCATTTTCATGTTTTGTGTTGTCTGTATGTTATTAATCTGCCCCTCCTCAGCCCATACTACAAATAGGCAACTGGTGATGTGTCGATGTGTATCTTTTGTGCATCTAATCCGTCTGCACAGGCCCTCCTCGCAATAGTTCCCAGCCCACCACAGCCCTGTGCCCAAGACATTTGTCCCCGACACCCAGTCAGTGTCTTTCTTTTCCCTGCAGGGTCCAGAGGCAGGGCGAGGGGAGGGGCAGCTCCAGGCTCACCTGGGGCTGTTGGGATTGGATGGGGTCTCTGTCACGTCATCTTGAGGAGATTGTGGGGAGTCCATGTCATCACAGCCAGAGATGCTGGAGGGGAGGGGAGGGGGGACACGCATGAAATGGAGAAAGAGGGCCTGACACACCAGGCCTGGCTGTGTGGTCCAGGACCTTCAGTCCCCCTCCCCCCGCAAGTGAGGCCTGGGCAGGCCGGACTGGGTACTCACCACTGCCGGATGTTGGAGTCCATGGGCTTGGAGAAGACCGGGGGAGATGTCTTGGCGATAGTAGGGTTGGGCTCGAACCCTTCTATCTCCAGGAAGAAGTATGCACTGGCGGGACACCCCACAAGGCCATTAGAACTGGGGCAGGCCTGTCCCCCCATGTGTCCAACGGCGCTCCTGCTGAGGGTGCCCACCCATGCCAGCTCCTGCTGGAATCCACACCCACACAGCCTCACTGAGCCCTCGCAGTATCCCTTTGGGGGTGGTACTGCCATCATTACCCACATTTCACAGGGCATATGAGGCTCCCAGGTCAAACAACTAGCTCAAGATCACACAGCAGGCAGGTGGCACTGCCTGGAGCCAAAGCTGGGTCTGGGTGACTCTTGTCACTAGGAACACTGAGTAGAAGAACCAAGGACCCCCTACTGAGTGGCCTAGTGCCTGAGGGAACTTTCCTGTTGGCAGCCTCCTGTCTGCACCTGCCACTGGGCACAAAGAACTGACTGAGATGGGGAACTTGGCAATGGGAGCTAATTTCCCACCCACCCCTACCTGCCCCTCAGGCTTCAGGTCTGAATCAAGAGTCCTTGTGCGCAGGGGCAGGGGTGTAGGATGAGGGATGTGGGGAGAAGGGGCTGCAGGGGAGGTAGGATAGGCCCCCTAGACTCAGATCCACAACAGGCCTTTCCTGAGGAGTTCCACTAGATGCCAGATGCAGTCCCCACCACCGTACTCAACCCCCTTTGAACAATTTTTGTCAGCACAAAAAATAGGCTGAGAATGAATGAAGGAGAGCAGGGAGTACCTGAGGCATCAGGGAACAGGGCTGAGACTCTCTTATCAACAAAGAAAACCCAGGAAACCACTTTGGACTGTGGAGGTGAAGAACAGTGGAGGGATGAGGTAGGGACAAAGTCTGTTTTCCCCTGGAGTGGGGCAAAGAGAGATGTGGGCCCAAGGCCTGTAACTTGGCTAAGTCCCAGGGAAGCAGAGACACTCATTACCCCATGAAATACAAGACAACATATCCAAGATGCAGCTCCCCAGCCAGGCACAGCTCTGACCCCTCCTTCAGACACACCCATGAATGCAGACACACATGTCCAGAACCACACACTCAGAGACAAGCCTGTTCGGGACAACTTGGATCGTGAAGATCAGGCTGAGGGTGACCCCGGTTGCAGTAACACTCCCAGCCCTTGGCTGCTGTAGCACAACTACTGTCTCTGTGACCTGGCTGGGACCATGGTCTCCTGACCAGCAGGCCCCACTTCTAAGCACCTTTGCTGCCTGCCTCTTTCCCAAACCCAAAGGAACAATGTGCCCTCTCCTTTCATCACAAGACCACAGAAGAGCTCCCAAGGCTCACCACCATCCATGCTGTTCTGCTCTCCTCTGCCCTCTGGTTTAGCTTCCAGCAAAACCAGTTGTAGAGTTGTAGGGATTAGCCACTGAGGGTGGCCATCCAGCATAGCCACTTCCAGGATGGGAAGGGCAGGAGGAAGACCTGATATTTGCCTGGGGATATTTTCCTGCAGTGCTTCACAACTGCCACCCCAACGCTGTCCCTGCCTGTCTAGGTTTCTCAGTGATGCATTTTCTCAACAAATATTTATTGAGTAAATATGCCCACAACTCACCAAGCACTGTGGGCATTGTTGCAGGCATTGGGGAGACAGTGGTGAACAAGGCAAAAGTCCTCCCCCTAAAGAGCTACTCCTCCAGTGGGTTGGTCAGAACTGGCCCCAAGCATCAAACCAGGTCATAACACCATCAACTCATTATTTTTCTTGCTCTAGACAACACACCATCCTTCAGCATTAAATTTCTCAATGGCAGAACTACAATTGCATCATCCTTGATTTTCCAGAACCCAACATTTGTTCTGACACTCAGAAGACCTAACTACACAGATAAGCCGAAGGATGGATAGGCAGTGAGTGAAAGGAAGAACGGCTGATTGAACATATGGGCAGAGGAGTGGATGGATGCATGACGTGTGGATGTGTAGAGCTGTGCAGGGATGGATGCAGGGATGGATGATAGATAGATGAATGAAGGAAGGAAAAAGGATGAAGGGATGCATGACTAAGAAGTGAGTACTCGGGTAGGCCAGTCAGTGGACAGATGAAGAGCACAGCTGACTGGACCATTAAGCAGACAAACCAGCACAGCATTAAACTGTAAATGCTGCTGGAAGGTTACATCACTCAGGTGACTCCCACAGGACTCTTGGTTGCCCACAACCCTCACCTCTCCTTCCCAGTCTTGCAAAAGAAGCTGAGGAGGGGTTTCTTGCCTCTCTCCCACATTTTCCTCCTCAGAGCCTCCTCTGAGCCCACAGAGGCCTCAAGGATATACCAGGAAACCAGACTGTAAGGGCATCTATCTACTCAGGCCAGGGAACTGAGGGTCTGAAGGAGAGGAGGCAGTGATTTCTCATCTCGTTGTGGAGGGTCTGTGCCACTGGGTACTTACTCATCAGCTCACCCACTCCTTCCTGAGTTGTCTTGCTGCTCCTTCACTGACTCACCCACTTACTCAAAACTATCAACAGGCTGTGTTGAAAACTTGGGAGGTAGGGAGGAATGATATCACCCATCCCAGGAGCCATGTTCTCGGGGATGTCAACCAGAGCCATAGCGTCCCACTAACCACATCAGCCTCATCAGAGAGCAGCTGGACTGTGAGAGCTCAGGGGAAGAGGAGACCCTTCCTGCCGAGGACAAGGATGAAGAAAGGGGTGCCCTGCTGGGGTGGCATTTGGTCTGATGTTGAAGAGGACCTGAAGTCTTAGAAAAAACAGGGAAGCAGAGAGAGCAACTGTGTCTGAGGGGGGTAGTCTTTAGTAGTGGGAAGGAGTTGCTAGAACATGGAGGTCTTTGCCACACCTGCCCTACTTGCTGCAGCTCGTGCCACATCTCACCTGCCACCACGAACAGATGACAAGTTCTCAGCCACATGACATCCCAGCTCCTGACCTACAGCAGACACTGTTAGTTTATCCTACCTTTGACCCAGGCCAAAGGGCACCACCTAGACATTGTTACCTCAGATGGGCAGATAGCTCTGCACCATTTCTCCTCACTTCTGTCCATTTGAAGGCCAAGAAATATCTCTGAGCAGACCCAGGGCCGGGGAGAGCCTTGGGACAACCTGTTGTGTTCCAAGAAATGCCCGAGGGCTCTGACCTCCAAGGCCAGGCCCCCCACAGCCTTCGTCAGCTCCTGTCTCTATTCCAGGTATCACCATCCCCAGGACCCAGCAAGGCGGTCACGGTCGCAACTTCACAGCGTGGCATGATGACTCAGGAAAAGCTCCAGGGCCAAAAAACCGAGGGCCTCCCCGGTGGCGCAGCAGTTGAGCGCTGGGTTGCAAAGCTGCCCGCAGCCTCTGCAGCCTCTGCAGCGCCGGTTTGCTCCCCGGCTGCTCCCCGGCTGCTCCCCGGCTGCTCCCCGGCTGCTCCCCGGCCTCCGGAGGAGGGTCCCACATGGCGCACAGACCTCTCCTGCAGTGCCCGCTGCTCCCCTCAGCAGTGTACTTCGGTCCTTCTGCCTGCTCTGCTCCCCGGTCTGGCTCTGGTGAATTCTCTCACCCTCCTGCGCTTCTGACTGTACCCAGTGCTTGTATAAATAAATAAATAAATCTTTAAAAAAAAAAAAAAAACTCTTCCCAGTCGAGATTTCTTGGTGATTTCAATTCTACCACTAGTTCATATTCCTTGAGAGGTCAGAATTGCCCCCTTTCTTTACGTATAAGTTTATCTTTTCTTTTTCTTTCTAGGCATCTCTGAGGGATATGCCCAAACACTTTTTGTAGGCATGTGAGGGCCCTCAAAGAGGCCTTAGAAAGGAGAAGAAGCTTCATGAAACAAAGGTCCCACCTCATACTGGCCCTTGGCTATCCAAGGTCAGAGGCAAAACTGAGCCTGGAACTAAGTTCTTGAATGCAAATGGGCTCAGAAAAGGCAGCCTGGCAGGTGGAAGAACCTGGGATTTTCCTGAAACCCTGCCTTCAATCTTTCCCAGAGGAAGTGAAAGGTTGGGCAAGGGGACCAAGAGGCTGGAGGGTAGTATTTGCTGGTTTAGTTCAGGGATGTCTCTGCTCTACCCTCACCTGGGCTGCCTCCCAGTCCTGCCCGCACCGGTTTGACCTCCAAGTCTACCCGGTCTCTCCCCTGTGCTCCGGGACGGAGCCTTCACCTAACGTCCCTTGGGCACCCTTCAGCCATATGTCACGCCTGAACTTGGGCTATTCATTTTTTTTTTTTTTAGATTTATTTATTTATACAACCACTGGGTACAGTCAGAAGCGCGGGAGGGTGAGAGAATTCACCAGAGCCAGAGCAGGGAGCAGAGCAGGCAGAGTGATGAAGTACACTGCTGAGGGGAGCAGCAGGCGCTGCAGGAGAGGTCTGTGCGCCATGTGGGACCCTCCCTGGCCGGGGATCGAACCGGAGCTGCAGAGGCTGCAGGCAGCTTCGCAGCCCAGTGCTCAACTGCTGCGCCACTGGGGAGGCCCTGGGCTATTCATTTTAACCACGTCCTTCTCCTCTGGTGTGCCCATGTCAGAGATAGCCCCATCATTCCTCCAACTTCCCCGCAACAGCAAAAGGGAATATCTCTTGGCCCTCTTTCTCTCTCCTCTGCCATAGTTGACCCTGCAGGCCCCTCACTGTCCCAACCTTCTCTTCGTCCCCTGACTGGCCAGGTCAGACCTTACTACCTGGGCTTCTCAGCAGTCTCCCCACCATGTCTCTGGTCCCAGCCTCCCTCCCAACTCACTAACCATGCAGATCACCCAGAATATATTTTCTAAAATGCAAATTTCACCATGCCCTCCCTCTCACACAAAAGTCATCCATGACTCCCTGCTGCCCCAGGCTTGTCCAAGCTTCTTAACTAATCCCTAAAACTCAGTTCTAATGGGACTCATCCACCCAACCAGCATTTCACCCACATGGGACTCCTCACTAGTCCCTGCCCCAAGGACAGAGGCCTAGAATATCTTTTCCCTTCTCTGATATCCTCTGCTCTCATATCACCTCCTCTAGGAAGTGCCCCAAGACTGCACACAGGAAAAGAATTATCCACCCTTTCTCATACTCTACCCCACCTACTTTTCCCTCTCTCCAGACCACTACCTGCATTGCCTTCTCACCAAACTGTTAGCGGGGGAGGTGGTCTTGTTCTCTGAGTCCCTGTGGCTATCTCTGCACAAAAGACCTTGGCAATTATTACTTAAACCAGAAAGGAAAGGACCAAACACACCTCTGGCCCAAGAGAATACTTGGACCAAGGATATAGGAAGCAGGGGAAATGGGCCACGTTAGATTAGGGGAACCCCAAGTCTAAAGGAAGTGCAGCATGGTTAGGGAGAGGCGTTTGGACTGGAGTGGCCCCAAATCAAATCAGAAACTGGAGGGGCTGCAAGGGAAGCAGGTCGGAAGCCAGAGGTGACCTGGGATGAATACTTTCCCTGCTCCCACCTCCTCTGTCTCCCCAGCTGGAAGTGGTCATAACCATCCCAGCCCTGCCCAGCTCCAGGGCCCCATGGAGTGACGACAGCATTGATGACACGAAGATGAGGCTCAAGGTGACAAAAGCCCTATGGATGCTACCATGTGCCAGGCACAGAGGTGGCGTGACTGCAGGTAACCTTCCTCACCTGAGTTGGCACCATTGTTGGTGCCTCCATTGCACAGGCAGGTTAGAGAACAGCTGGGCACACAGAGGGCATGAAAGCCATTGGCATGTGTGAAAACTTAGTCAGTGGTCCAGGCCACCTGGGACTTCCTCCCGCCTTTTTTGCTCCCTTTCTCAAGGGTGGCTCCAGCAATCCCTCCCCTCCCCCAGGACCCGTCCTAAGTGTTTCTGCCTCAGTGCCCCATAACCCCTCTAGAGAGGCCTCCCTGATTATTCTGGCCATACTGCCTTCCCCAGCTGAGCCCCTCAAGTATGCAGTTCTGCTCCCCTCATATTCTCCCGTTACACTTAGTCAGGTACCAAAACAACCAGGGGAACAGTCTCAGGTCCACACAGACAAGGTCTCCGGGAGGAGGACCCTTTTCCCCTCACCCCCCACCACCACCAGCTGCACAGAACCCAGGCTTGAGCCCACCAGTCCTACCTCTTCTTGGTGGGAGTGAGCTCTGCTGTCCTCTTGTCCTGCAAGATGGCGGGGTTCCCGCTGGGGACAGCTCTTCTGCCCACAAGGGGCACCATCTCCTTGGGGTGGGCATTCATAGCTGGGACACAAGCACAGGGTAGATGCTCAGGATGAGGGGACAGGGAGGAGCTTCAAGGGACTTCAGAACCTGGCACGGTGCCCTGTGACCCCTGCTGTATTCCCTAGGATGGAAATGCAAACTCTCTCCACCCAGGCCACCCGTATCAGGGACAAGGACTGTCCTGGCGTCTTCCTGCTTCTTCTGCAGCTCCTCTGCCTTGGGCCGTCAGAGAACCCAACAGCTTCTAGGGAGAGACTGCTCTGCTCTTAGCCTCTCTCAAGTTCTTGTCTCCAGCCCACAATCTCTTGGTGGACTTCTGAGTTTACTCTGATTTATCAGGGTTTGGCTCAGATTTTGGGTTCAGAGCTCTCTTCAACAGAGAAGAACTAGCTGCTCCTTTGCTCTCCACACTGTACTCCTAGAAATGCAACCTCAAGGCCCTCTGGTTTTTGGATTTCTCAGCACCCTCGTAGTCTCAGAAGCCAACACAGTGACCATCTCTCTCATCCACCCAAAGCTGAATGCAACGAGCCTCAGGGCTGTCTTCCCACTGGACCCTCTTCTTGGCTGCACCCCGGGCCGAGGAGGCAACACCTCAGTCCAGACCTGCTCTACTGATGCTCTGAGGCTATGCTGGGCTCAGAGCAAGATGCTGGGATGAGGGACTGACCAGTCCCCAAGAAGACTGTGTGGAAGAAGGACAATCCAGCAGAGGGGACATAGTGAGCAAAGAATGGGGCTCAGGGAAGCTCACTGAGAGGCAAGAAGCTGGTGTGTGGGTGAGATCAGGTTGTTGGATGGGAGTACTGCAGTGAAAGGCTTGGGAGCACTCCTGGTAATTGATCTACATTCATCCCATTTGATCTAGGTTACAAAAGAGACCGCATGTTGGAGAGAGCTGAGTTTGTGGGGGTGGGAGAGACCAGAGGCCAGGGGCCCTCGCGGTCTCTGCTATGGGGGCCAGCAGAATGGGGAAGGGTGAGCTTGCCATATAGGATGAGATGGTTGGGGGAAGGTAGTGTAGATAGGAGGGGACTAGAATTCATGGGAGACCATTCATAGTTTGAGCTGCCTTCAAGTCACAAAGGTGGGGGTGAAGGGTAGATTTTTCTAAGAAGAGCCCAGCTGGTTGGGGTGGAGCTGGGACCACTGAGAGGAAACTTTCCTGGGGAAGTGACTGGAGTAGGTTGACATCAGCCTAGAGTGAGGTTTGGAAATGGGAAAGCTCTCCCTGCCCGCCCACCTCCCCGCCGCAAACCCAGAAATCCTGGAAAAGGAGTCACCCAAGGGAGGGCTTCAGCTCTGGAGAGCAAGCACCCTGAGGCATGGAACTTTGAGGAAAGGCCTCAGGCCAGACAGATGGAGCAGCTCATTGACCGAATCATGAGGACTTGAGTCCCTGCTCATAATCCAGTCAAAGCCTGATGAGGCTTGGCAGCCTTTACTGCCTTCCCCAACACCAAGGTCAGGTGTTGCTAAAAGGCTGGGCTGGGCCAGGAGTGAAGGAGAAGGATGGAGGACCTGTGCCTCACCCCTCCTTGGACCTCTGTTTTCCCTTCTGAGAAATGGTCTTCTGAGTCCCCCAAAGACTCTGTAGCTCAGACTCAAGACAGCTGACTGCTCCATCCCTGCCCTGGGCCCTAGAATGCAGGGCAGTCCTGAGCTGCTGGGGCAGGCGAAGGTCAGGAGAACTCTGGATGGGTCTGTGGCAGCTATAATTAACTCCCTGAGTCACCTATAAACCCTGTGTTCTCACCTGCCACACTCTCTCGCTGCCCTGGCCCTCCCTCTCTCTGGAATTTGGCTTCCTCTCCTGGGAAGTGGAATGCTGTGGTTCCCAAGAGCTGACACTGAAACATCCTTTCCCGGGAGATGGACCAGGCCCAAGGGCCACAGGGATTCCCCATGGCTGCGGGCTCAACGTCTGTGAGATCCCTGGGCCCCATCCCTCTGAAGCTCTGGGGCCATCTCCTCTCACCCTCAGCTCCCTGGAAACAACTCCACCTGATGGCCACAGCCCTGGGGCCTAACCTCTGTCCAGGGCTGTGAGCCGTTCTCCTTCCCCAAAATCCTCAAAATCCTCAGGGAAGGATTCCCAGGTCCATTCAGAACCTGTGGTCTCGCACACCTGCTGTGCCCAAGAGTTCAGGTCTAGCTTTGTTTCTGCTGCTAGAAGCCTAAGCTCCTGCCAACCCTCCCCTCAGAGGCCTAGCCGCAAAGGGCAGATGTGGCCCAGAGGAACCCTGAGGTCCTCACTCTGGGATCCCTAGACTTTTGGAGTTTTCTGGCAGCCATGTGTGGTGAGGACTCACCTGGTGAGGTCTGGGTGGCGAGGGCTGCCCTTGCTCTGAGATCACCGCATGTCCTGGGCCCAAGGCCCCCCGGCGGGACTGTGGCTGAGGCAGTTGGAGGCTCTCATCGCGAGCAGGGGGATGGCTGGAATGAGGCATCGTAGGCAGAACTGGCTGGGCCACCTGTCCTCGGCGCCAGGCAGGCCACGCCCGCCAGCCACAGCTGCAGCGCCCGCCCGCCCACATGCCCTGCCTGAGTCACCCCACACCTACAGAGCAGCTTCACCCCAAACCAGGAGAAGGCAGAGGAGGGCAAAGTTTTGGTCCCAACTCTTCTCTCTCTATTATGGGCCTCAGTTTCTACAACTGGGAAATAGGAATCATAATACTGACTTCCCAGTCAGCCTGTGAATAATCAAAAAGATGGCGTTGGTGGGCAGGCCTAATGAATAGTCAAGTGCTCTGCTTGACCCCTGGAAGGCAAGGTCACAGCCATGGGCTGGCCTGGTTGACCACAATGCCACCAACCCCAAGAATTGATATCTGTTCTTCAAAGTCTGAGATCAGATCCCCTCAAAAACAGAGGAAGTGCCCATTCACTTCTTCCCGCCAGAAATTTTACACCAGAGACTGAGTGTTAGGCAGCCTTATGCCCCTCTGGTTGCATGACGTTGGGCAAGTCATTTGTCTGAGTCTGTCCCCTCATCTGTGACATGCCATTTGGGGGCTTGAGAGAACACACAGAAAGGATTAGAACAAGGTCCAGCCTGGAGAAAGAATGCTATAAACGTGAGAGCCATGATATGAGTTTTTACTGTTTTTGTAACACCAATTCATTCTCCTGGCAACTGCCAGGGCCACCTGCCTCCAAGACCAGAGCACCAGGGCAGACTGTGCCCTCCCTCTGGCCCAGGCCACAGCTGGGGAGGGAGTGGAGTGAGGCCGGGGCGGCGCTGCCTGCCTCCATGTCACTCAGGAATTGCACACCTGTTCCCGTGGGGCAAGTCAGGACTGGGACAGAGCAGGAAGTTTGCTGACAAGACAGAGCTGGTGATGGATGTGACAGGGACTTCCCCATCTGCCATCAAAGGCAGTTCCTCCGTCCCTCATCACCCAAATCTGCCAGGCCTGGGGAGAGGCTAGAAGCAGGGTCAGCTTCCAGACCCTGGGATAGCGGGACTGTGGCCAATAAGGGGCAGAAAACCTCGCCTTATGCCCAGTAGGCTTCAGGTGTGGGTGGATCAGGGCGACTTTTGCAGTTTAAGTTAAGGAGATCCTGAAGTTCCCATGCACACAATTCAAAACCTCATCATCATCTGAAACTCCTCCATTAAAGTCTAGTCCTCCCTCTATTACTCAGTTAATTGCCCTCCCTGAGTCAGCCCCTCATCCCTCCTCATTTGCGTCTGATCCCTCAGAAGCCTGGGGGTGAGGCTTTGCCAAATTTCAGTGTTCACATTTTCCCTTATGTTAGCACATTTTCTCAATGGCCAGCCTGGAGATGGTGAGAAAATCCCCTGTCTCCCACCCAAAAGCATTTACTGTGCCCAATAAGGAGTAAAGGGTGCCCTTCCCCCACTGTGCATGGGAGAAGGGGTCCAGAAGAATCAGAACTATGGTCCCCTACTCCCACCCCAAATTCATGGAAATAGCAGCTCCTGCTCCTTGGGCTGGTCTGCATTCAACCCCACTGACTCCAACACACGTGAGGGTCCACAGGCCAGGCAGAGAATCAAGGGGCCAGTGTGTGACTTAGAACTGGAGAAGGGGGGCCTTAAGGAAGTTGTGAGTCCCATGGGAGACAGGCTTAGGCAGGCGCCTTAACCCTAACAGGTGGCTTATAAAGGTGGCTTGTAAAGGCCACAAAGAGGGGGAAGTCGCTCTAATGGGGAGGTGGAAGATGGGTTCACGGAAGAGGGGTTGGACATAGGGAGAGGAGACAGCCCCTGCATGAGCAAGGACTTGAAGCAAGAGACCCCAGCATGTTCAAGAAGGGGAGATCAGCTTGGGCAACATAGGAACTTGTGAACATTGGACAGAGCTGCTGCTCAGTTAGGCTCAGCCTACCACGTGGCCTCAGGCCACTGAGTCAGCCCCGATTCTTAGTCAGGAAGGATGGGGCATGGGGCCTGGGGCATGGGGCCCTGTTGGGATGCTGTCGCCAACATGACCCAGCAGGGAACTGAGCCAACCAGGCTGAGCCAGCACCTCAAACCAGAGGCAGCGCCTCTGCCTGTCTGAACCCTGCCGTCACTTGCCCAATGGGGTTCCTGCACTGTGTTTGGGGCCCACACAGCACCGTGGCTGGAGCAGAGCTGGGGTCAGGAGTCCTGCCTCCTTCTACCAAGCCTGGAACCCCATAGAAGCCTCACCTACTCCTTCTTGGCCATCACATAGGTCAGTGATCTTCACAGTCACCCCAACACCTGGAAGCTTAGAAGGATTAAGAACTACCTTCCATCATGCAGCCCCTCATTCCTGGATGCAGCCACGAGCCATGCTGTGCCCACACCTCCGTGACCTCAGCTCCTCTGACAGGGAATGGAGCAAGAGGAACCTGCGAGGCAGCAGTCCCAGGAAGGGACTTTCAGATTGACTGTGTGGAGCAAATTCACAGGGTGCCTGAGCACCCTGGATGGGAAGCAGGCAGAGAGAGGGAAGGGTGGCCTCTGGGTATTCCTGTCCCCACCCTGCTCCTCAGAGGCCTGAATTTCAGGCAACCCCTCGACATTGGCCAGCAGAGCCCACGGGTACCCCCAGTTCACCAGACTGAGTCCAGATTTGAAGCCCTAGTCAGCTATGTCTGTCTGCTGTGGACAGCAGCACACCCTCCCTGAGGCCCACCATGCTGCACCGGGCAGACTCCCTCACCCATACCTCCCAGGCCCAGGTGGCAGGCCCACAAGCCACACCCCCAAGAGGGAGAGGAAGAAAAGGGATCTCTGTGGAGTGGTGCAGTGAAGGAGGAGGGGGACAAGAGCCAGGCAGAACTCCACCAGCAGCTCCAGCCTTCTAGACCCATCCTGACAGAGGTCGGGAGAGAGCTGTCTACATCCTGACAGGCCACCCTGCCCTGGGCTGACTCCCCACTGATGATTCTGGCTTGTGGTCATCCAGCCTCCAGGTGATGAGGGAGGGACATGGGGACAGAAGGAGATAAAGAACGTAGCAACAGAAAGAAAAAAGAAAAAGAGCAGGCTAGTAGCCGGAGTGTCCCTCTTTGACAGCCCTAGCTTACACAGTAATTTGCAATCATTTTAAAAATATTCAGAAGGCTCCTTCCAGCTCTGAGTAAGTTTGAAGACTTGCAGATGACTGACATCCACACATTTGCTGAGGAAGGCCCACAGGCAAAGGAAGGGGTTCCAGGACATTAACAGGAAGCAAGAAGTTGTCTTGGCTTTTGACCCAGCGACAGGCTGACGTGCCCCGGCCTGCTCTGACGGGCAGCCCAGCACCAAGGTTAAGTTGTGGGTCTTGGAGTCAGACCCAGGCAAGGCTGTTTACTGGCTATGACCTTAGTAACTGTTCCAGCCTCAGTTTTCTCATCTATAAAATGGAGCTAATAATAGCTTTTCATGTCCTGTTAGGAGGCTTAAAGGATAACGCACATCAAACACTTTGCATAAACACTCCATACACACAGCTGGCAACATTCCTCCCCCGTGCTCTTTGCTGTGGTCTGACCACGGGACACTCGCACCAGCCACCTCGTCAACCAGCCCCCAGACTTGTCTGTCCAGCTTGTGTAGGGAGAGAAGTGATGTTGAGGAATGTGGAGAAGATCCCAGAGCTTCCTCCAGATCCCTCTCCCACAGTAGGACCAGACCCTCAGCCTCAACTAATGTCATCCATCTTTTCTTGAATTAACATGCAACAACTGCAAGGCTGGTAGCTCATTCCACAAGCCACTGACATTGACACAGCCCTGCCTGCGGCTGGAGCTGAGCTTTCTTCTACATCTTGTTTCTTGGCTTCTATTCTGTAAAGCACGGTCAGTAACTTTTCTGTAAAGGGCTACTATCTCTGATAGTAAATATTTTAGACCTTGCAGGTTATTCAGTCTCTGCTGGAGCCACACCACCCTGGGCTGTAGCACAGAGGCAGCCCAAGACAACACAGCAGTGAGTGACGTGCTGTGATCCAATAAAAGTTTGTTGACAAAAACAGGTGGCAGGTGAGGTTTGGCCCATGGCCCATAGTTTGCTGCACAGGGTAGGTGTGTGTATGGAGTGCCCTCGCCCACGGGCAACAATCCAGGGTGACCAGCGGCTCTGAGCCTTGTGAGGTAGCACATACATACGCACGCACGCACGAACACACAGGCACACGCTGGCCACACAGAGCCAATTAATAATGCGGTATGGTTGTTTTATTTATTTGATGGGTGACACGATGGACAGAGGCGGAAGTGTGGACCACTGCAGGGGAACAGCACTATTGTGTCACTACGAGACTAAGTCTTCACTACAAATTGAGGATGAGTAAAAAATCCTTCCCATGTGGTTTGGGGACATGGTTTCATACTTTTATTTAAACAGCAACAGAACTAATCTTTTTGGAACTGTGAGGTGTTACATGGAAGGGTGAAGTCACTGGGAAAACCTGGTTGTGGCAGAGTTGGGGATGGAGCCAGCCCCCCCCACCTTCTTAGGAGAGTAAACGACACCAAGGCCCAAACCACTTTCAAAAACGGCATAATAAGCTCAATAGGGAGAGGGGGGTTCAGAATTTTACATCCAAGGAAGTGTCCTGTTCTAGAAGGTGTTTTCCTGGTCTCCATTTATCTATTCCCAGTAATATAAAATGGAAGAAAACAGGGGCATCGCATGGCCAAGGAGAGATTGATCACTGCCGATGTTTGATCAAGTTAGTAAAAACTTGAGAACAAATGGCCTCCTGTTAGGAGATTCTCCTGAGGTCAGTGTGGGCTGGACCAACAGCTCTTCCCACACACCCTGCAAGGTCCCCACAGTCTTTCCAGCGTAGTCTAAGAGAGTGATGAGCAGGTGCCAATAGGGCCGGGCAGCCAAAAGAGCACTGGGGCTCCCCACACTGCACCCCAACAGCAGTGGGGTACTATAAGGCTCACACTCCCTGTGAGGGACCTGTGGGGGTCCCTCACTTCTCCTCAAAAGCAGCAGGATCCTTGAAGACCTCAGCATCTTCTGGCTTGAGGGACCCTGCAAAGTGTCTCAGATGAACTTCCTCAGGTTGGGCGGGGGGCCTTTCTCGAGTGCTTGTATCTCTTAAAAGGGGAACCAGGGTAAAGTTCTTCCAGTTTCTCCCTGAAACTGAATGGTAAAATATCATTATTGGCTTGGATGCGGCAAAACAATAGCAGACATTTACCTGTTGAGTGTACCAATCTCTACACAGAGATCCAGGCATGTCGGTGCTCCATAAGACACACGCCATTTCTGAGCCATTTCCTCTTCCCATGGAAGTTCAGGGGCCTCACCCACTCTGGCAGCTCTAAATTCTCTTCCTCCACCCCTCACCCCGACTTGCTTGTGACCTCATGAGAGTCCATGGCTTTCCTCTCTCTGGGCCTGTATTTCCTCCCTGCTCCATGAGTAGCTCTACCCCAGGCCAACTCGAGAGTGATGAATACCAGCCAGAGAATCAAGATTTGGGGGTCAGGTTCCCCCAAGGTATAGCAGGTTGGGAACAATTCCAAAGGAACCATGGTGACATTGGGTCTTGAGTGGGGTTCTCCAGGGTTCCTGAAATTCCAGGAAGCTTCTAAGAAGCTTCTGGGGGAATGAACTGGTTGTCATCCCTATAGCCACCTCCCTCCCTGCTCACAGAGAAATGCCAGGCAAGAAGGAAAGCTGTTTGAGCTCTCCTTCCACTTGCCAGAGCCCTCATCAACCACACCCCCATCTGATTTCTCTAGAAAACCAATCAAAATTCACACCCCACAGCCTTGGGCCATAAATCAGGCTTGATATCCAACAATGACCATATCTCAAAGGCATCAGGAACACCAGGTCTGGGCCCACAGTGACCACTCCAGGTCCTAGTGTTTCCCCCAGGCCCTCAGCCTGACGCTGGCCTGTTCCCCAATTCCAGTCACATACCATGCACCAGTTTCTAAAGCAGAACCCCTTAGGGGTCCAGCAGAGAATGCCATGGAAGGGTCCACTGGAAGACAGGCCAGGTGCTCATGGAGGTGCCATCTTGTGGCTGGCTGAGTAGTAGGGAAGCCCAGCTTCAGGGCTGCCTGGTTCCAATTGTAAGGCCCTCAAAGGAGGAAGGGGACTCTCGGCATCCACTTCCCATAGTCCTGATGCCAAGAACTATTCATGGGCTCTCCCTAAATCTGCTACTGACCACTTTTTTCCCCTGGTCTTTCTCTCATGCATCTCCTCACCCTGTCCCGATCATATGCGCAGGGGAGAAGTCCTTGTTAGCTGAAATATTTGGTTATTGATTACTGTCATTTTCACTGTTACAAGTTGTATAGGAAAACAAAGTCCTCAGGAAATATTCACTAATTAATGATATATGAAATCAGGGAGCTTCTAACCCCAAGCGACCTGAGTGTGTGTGTCTCTGTCACTGGGCCAATATCTTTATTACTATCAGAGTGAATGCACAATGTTGTAAACAGCCAACAATGTCATGCCAAAAAAAAAAAAAAACTAATCACTGCAAAATGATACAGCAAATTTTTGTAAAGATTTGGATCTCAGGAAATCAGTAAGAGTGGAGTTGGAAAACTGTTCAAATCACATGCAAAGTCACTTTCAAAAGGCTCTGTGATTGTTATACCAGTTGACAACTGAAGAAGAGCTAATAAGTCTGTGGCCTGACACTGGCAGTGCTTCCAGTGAGTCACACAGGAAAATGACAGGATCGCAGGAGGCCCTTGGGAAAACTGATGAAGCCCTTGAGTAGCTTTACAAAGTATGTGTCTTGATAAACTAGAGTCGGGCTCTGAGGGAGTATCCAGTATAGGGCTAGCCACCCTGCTGAAAACAGCCATAAACTGGATAAAGAAACAAAGCAAAGGAACCAGACAAAACCAAACCAGGCCACCCACCCCACCCTGCAAGGCATAGCAGGTTGGAAACAATTCCAAAGGAACCCTTGAAATTTGACTGCAGAATTGAGGCCACCCGAGGGGGTGGGGGAGGGGAGGGAGAACAGGGAGAGGGGACCCCATGGACATTGGTGGAGGTTGTCAGAGCTTTAGTGGTGGTCATGGTGTGATAATATACTTTTAAAAAGGTATGAACTATACCCCTAAAACATCCAGTGTTGTAAACCAACTTTTCTGCAGTAAAAGTAATGTAACTTAAAAAGAAAAAGAATAAAGAATATCTGATAATCTAATATTCTATATCCATCGAAAACATCCTTCAAACATAGGATGAAATTGGCATTTTTTTTTTGGGTAAAGAAGAACTGACATAAAGTGAATTATAGTAATAGAAATTAGATTCATGGTACCTGGGATGGGGAAGATGGTGGGGTGACTACAAAAAGGTAATTGGGTACTTTCTGGAACTTTCTGATAAAACTGTTTTATATCTTGAGTGAGATGGAGGTTACCTGAGTGTATATTTGCTGAAACTTACCAAACTATACATTTTAAATGTGTGTATTTTGTTGTAAGTTATATCTTAATAAAGTTTTTTTTAAGTTGATGAAATAGGGAGCCCCAACTCCTTCTTCTGGCGCAGACTTCTCCCGTCTCGCCCGCTGCTTCTCTTAGCAGTGTATTTCAATAAATCCGCCTTTTCTGTTCTCAAAAAAATAAAAATAAAGTTGATGAAATATAAAAAATGAGCTTCTCTACGAAGCAATATCAACTATGAGAGATGCAGTAACTCACTACCAGGCAAGGTGGCCTGAGAATCACCCCTTCTTCAACCTGCCAAAAAGGACTGGATTAAATCAGTGTTCAGTTTAAGAATCAGTGATGTCAGCAAAATGGCAAGGTAGGCAGGGCCCCCAAAATATTCAAGAAACAAGCAGGACTTCAGAACCAAGGCTGTCAGAACTCTGAGGAACAGTTCAAGGTTTACAGAGACCAAGCCAACACCAACCAAGAAAAAGCAGCTGAAAACAGTAGGAAGCGAAAACCGTGCAACTCTTAGGAAAAAAAGAGCATAGGAGGAAATTGCCATGACGTTGGATTCATCAACGACTTCTTGGATTTGACACCAAAAGAACTGGCGACAAAACTTAAAAATCAATAAATCAGCCTTTATCAAAATTAAAACCTATTTTATGTTAGACTCTATTAAAGAGATTTAAAAAGACAACTCAGAGACTAGGAGAAAATATTTGCAAATCATATGTCCAATAAGGTATTAATATTCAGAAAATATAAAGAACTATAATTCAAAAAAATGTTTTTATGAACAAAGAATTTGAACAGGGATTTCTCCAAAGGATACAGTAAAAGGGCAAATAAGCACACGAAAAGATGCTCAGAATCATTCACCATTAGGAAAATGTAAACCAAAAACACAAAGAGAAAGCACTTCACATCCTTAGGATGGTAAAATAAAAAAATAATAATAAATAGTGGTGAGGATGTGGAACCCTCAGGCCTCGCTGGTGGGAGTGTAAAATAGCACAGCTGTTTTAGAAAATAGCTTGGCAGTTCCTCAAAAAGCTAAACATAGTATTACCATGTGATCCAGCACCTCCACTCCTAACCAAAAGATTTGAAAACTGGGTTTCCAGCAGAATCTTATATGATGTTAATAGCATTATTCATAACAGCCAAAAATGTAGAAATAATCCTAATGTTAATCAACAGGTGAATGAGTAAATAAAATTTGGTATACATAGAAATTGGACTATTACTAATCAGACACAAAAGGACAAATATTATATGATTCCACTTACATGCAATACCTAAAATAGACAAATTCAAAGACACAAAATGTAGAATAGATTATTAAGGGCTGGTTTGTCGGGGGAGAAGGAATAGTGTTTAGTGGGTAGAGTTTCTATTCAGAACAATGAAAAGATTTGGTAAACAGCTAATGGTAACAGTTACCAACATGGTTTCAATAATTGTACATTTTTTAAATGGTTAAAATGGCAAATTTTTATGTATATATTTGACCACAATTTTTTTAAAAAACTGAAAACAGGCAGCTCTCCTCCCGGCCTTTGACTATGCGGGTGTCTCTTTTTTTCTTTCTCCTTTTCCTAATAAGCCTATCCTTTTAAAATGTAACAAAAATAAATAAATAAAGTAAAACTCAAAACTGAAAACAGAGAATTAGTGCAGGGTTGTGATTATAATTCAAAATGTGCTCAACATAAACTGGGTTTGCTTTCTTTTTAGGTAATTGTCCTCAGTTAGACCTTTAATTTCATGTTTACCATTAACTATTAAAGGACTTCTTCCCAGTAATGATTTTCCTCAGACTTTTCTGCTCCAGCTGCACCCTCTCCACCTCCCATTCTTCCCTCCTCTCCCTGCCAGACATGCCCACGCAGGGTGAGGATGATGCGTCCTATTTGTACCCATAAGCCTCAGGAGCTGAGGACAAACAGGGTATGAGGAGCAGGGCAGGGTAGCAGGGCAGCCCAAGGCCGACGGCCCAGGTGGCTGAATGTGGGCTGAGCTGCTTGCTCTGGGGCACTGAGGACAGGTGCCTAGGCCAGGGGTGCTGGCAGAGCGGGCGTGCATGAGCACGTGGAGCCATCAGCTGTGTGGGCCGGCATAAGAGCACACACAAGGGTGCCCATGACTGTGTGTATGCTGGTGTTGACACTTGGGGCTATTCCACGCCCAGCTGTGTACAGCGCAAGGAAGGCCTGCAAGGAACAGGGAACCCCAGGACTTCAACTACCCAGCATCAGGCCACCACCAGGCACCCCTCTCCTCACACCTCACCTCGGCCTGACCGCAGGGAGAAGCTCAGGGTGCGTTTGATGCCCTCACAGTTGCCAGGGTCTTCATTGATGATGCCCACGTTGGTGTTCCAGGTGGTCCAGTTCACCTCATCCACCCTGCAGGGCGAGGACACAGGGAAGCATAGAGCTGGCAGCCTAATAGCCATGCCCAGCTTCCCAGGTCAAAGGCCCCAGAGGCCAATCCCAAGGAGACCATAGGTCAGGATGGGAAATAGCTGGTAGAGGAAGGGCTGACAGAGGCCTGCTTTTTGGACACCACCCCCAAAAATTTATTCTCTGATCACACCATGGGGACAAGAGACTTTAAATATTGGATTCCTGGTTCTGACCTGATAACTAGATAACCCCTTCTAGAGAGTTCATTTTCCAAAAATCCCCCTATGCCCATAATGGGTCCCCTGTGCCCATAGCGGAGTCTTGAGGCAGCCTCTGTACTCCCATCTCGTTCTGAGTGAGTCCCTATACCCATAGATGAGCCCTGAGTCAAGGCCTGTACCCACAGCTGGCTCCAGTTGGGTCCTCTACACCCATAGCTTAACCCCTGAGCTCCCCAAGCTTTGACTGCTATGTGGGCATTACCTGAAACACCACCTGTAGTCGTCCTTGCCATCGGGGGTGTACCCCACCTGCAACAGCTTACCCGAGCGGAAGGCCTTCCTCATACACTTCAGGAAGCTCTTCTCCGTGTCCAGGATGGTAATGGCTCTCTGCAGGAAGACACAGGGCAGACAGAGGGCTCATCAGCAGTGGCCCCTGGCTGCTGGAGCTGGCTGCCAAGATCAAGCTTTCCTTGGTCTCTCCCAGCCCCAGTGCTTCCGTAGGACCTTCAGTGCCTGCTACACCAGCCTTGTTTCTGCAGCCTGGTGAGTGCTCATGCCTTGGAAGGCGCTTAACCCACCCAGTCCCAACACAGCTGGTTCCTGTGGATCTAGGCAGGGCAACCTGTGAGTCTCCCAGCCCCAGATAATTCCCTGAGGAGCTCACAAAGGGGTATAGCGTTAAGAGCAGGATGTCAGGAGTAAGACTGCCTGGATGGAATCCTGAGTGGGTGCCAGACTTGTTGCCTTGGACCCAGGTCCCTACCTTCTCTATGCCTCAGTGCCTCTGTTCATCCACACATTAGAATAATCACACCCACTTCCTGGCCTTGTGGCAAGGACTAAATGAGAGCAAGTAAGACATAACGACAGTACTGGCATGGCCAGTGCCACTCAGCAAGAATAACACTATAGTTGGGGAGGCAAATATAAACCAGGTGGTTCAAAATGCAATCATCAGGGTCCTTCCCCAAATATATTTCCCCCTGAGTCTAGTCTCTGAGGCACTCTATACCACGTTCCTCTGTGGTGAGCAGCCTGCACATCTGAGCCCTTCCTCTCCTTCCCTCCGGGACTGTCCAGCCATAAACACAGCCTCTGTGATCACCCACTGATGCCAGAAGGATTTGACTGAGGGAGACGCTGCTTCTTAATCCCCTGGGCCTGGCTGGGTTTCTGCCCCTTCCTCACACCTTATAGGGACCACCGATACCCAGCTAAATTAAGTAACAGACAGAATAGCCTGCACCCCATTGCTGCACGCTGACCTGCAGCTTCCAGATATTCTTGCTCTCCTGTGCGATCTTGTTGACGGTCTCACCCATGAGGGCGATGAGCATGTTGAGCAGGAGGATATAGGTGAGAATCACATAGGCCAGTAGCAGGATGATGAAGACAGCCTTGAAGTCATAATTCTCTGTGAACTCCAGGTCACCCATGCCGATGGTGAACTTGAACAGCTCCAGACACGTAGAGTACAGGCTGTTGTAGGAGCTGTCAGGCTGGCGGCAGCTAGAGCCTCGCCACCTATGTGATGTAGGCTCAACCTGCATGGAATTGTTCTTCCCATCCTCAATCAGGGTCACCACCGCTATAGGGCATGGGGAAGGAAGGCTATAGCTGGACAGAAACCAAAACCCCCAGCCCCTTAACATATATACCCCCTACCCCAGGATGGCTCTGCAGCAGGAATGCTGCTAGCCAAGCAGTACCATTGTGTGAATTTATTTTACAAAAACACCCTCTTCTTCAGAATTATTTTAAAAATTGTTATAATGTACTTTATTATCATCTGCAAAGAAAAAAGTTTAAACCCATACATCTATATGTACAATGTGAATTTAGCCACCTTTGTGCAGTGCACGACCTATCTAACCTTACAAGTCAGCACTGAATTCATATCCACATTCTCAGTCATGTCCTATCTGCCTGTGCCCCTTAAAAGATGGCCCAGAACCTGCCCCTATCAGGACCATGGGGACTGAAAATTAGAACAGCCTCTCCCTGAATTCTATACTCTTCTTTGGGAAATGTAGTCCATAACCTGAGAGTCCCTGTAACAATTGCTCTCATGAGAGCTGCAAATCCAGGGTACTGCATAACCCCCTTGGCCTAATCCCTTCTCGTGGCTACAGATATGCAGGGCCTTCAGAACAGGTGCCAAGGCCCACACTGGTCCCTATCAGTCAAAGCCACCTCTCATGCTCAGCCAGAGAGTCTATACCAGGTTGCAGGCAGGTATTCCATGTGAACCATGTAACTGCAGGAGTCAGACAAGGATCAAAACAGAGGCAGATACTAAAAAAATGATGTGTGTGTGTTTGTGTGTGTGTGTGTGTGTGTGTGTGTGTGTGTGAAAAGGACACAGCAACTGGCTGGCTGGGGCTCCCAATTACCATTTCTCAAACAATATGAACATCAAAATACATGATATTAGTAAGGAATTAAAACCCATTTAATGAAGTGAGAACCCACAAAAAAGTAAAAAAAGAATCTATTAGGCCATACTGATGTAAATAAATAATTAAAGTTGGAGAACAGAATGCCCTTCCTTATAACAGAATGACAATGAGTAAATGTAGAAGGAATGATGGAGTTAAAAATCACTATTTGGCAACCGACATAGGATCAGGCAAGAATCACCAGTGGATGCTACAGCTGTGGGGTGAAAGTGTGGTGAGAAACGGAATATTGACATGTTCTTAAAGTATTGTCTCACAAATTACTTATCAATTACAAAGGAAAAGGTAATAATATGACCATGGGAAAATCTGGCAAACCCACTAAAACCAAGCAATCAAAGTTAACATTAGCAGGAACTGGACAAAGAGGCCACGGGATTCCTTCCTAAAACAAGGGAGACACGTCACTTCCTTGACAGTCTGGTCAAGGACACACACCTGAATCTAATGATGAGGAAATGTCAGGCAGGCCCAAACTGAGAGACACGGGACAAAACAACTGGCCTTCACAAAATGCTGAGGTCTCAAAAGACAAGGAAACATGGAGGAGTCTAAGGAGGCGTGACAATTGAATGGTGTAGATGGTCTGGGGTTTTTGTGTCTGTAAAAGACATTATTAGGACAATTGGGCAAAATTTGAATAAGTTGGTAGCTGAGCTCAAAGTATGGTATTAATGTTCATTTCCTGATTTGATCATTATACAGTATTTATATAAGAGAATTCTTTGTTTCTAGGAAATATACCATTTACAAGTATACAGGATAAAGTCTTTGTTTTTAGGAAACACATATTTTATCCAATATAGTGAGTAAAAGGATAATCATGATTGATGTGTGTGAGTAAAGTGATTAAAAAAACAAAAAAATAAAATTGGGGGAACGTGGGTTGAACATACCCAAGTTATTTGGACTATTCTTGCAATTTTTCTGAAAGCCTGAAACAATGTCAAAATTAAGTTTAAAAAAAAATTGAGCCAAAATGCAGTCATCCTACAGGCAAGCAGCAATTTGTCCCTCAAAAATTACTTAACACAATTTACAATAGCTAAGCTATGGAAACAACCCAAATGCCCAAAAATAGATGACTGGATCAAGAAGCTGTGATACACATACACCATGGAATATTACTCAGCAATCAAAAAAGATAAACTCATGCAATTTGCAGCAACATGGATGGAGTTGGAAGGGATCATGCTCAGCAAAATAAGCCAGAAAGAAAAAGAAAAATACCAGATGGTCTCACTCACAGCAGGAATTTAGAAAACCTAAACAAGGGACCAGGAAAAAGACTAATTGCAATAAAGTAAAAATCAAAATCAACAAGCAACTATAGACCAAGCAACTATAGACACACTACAGTGGGGGCGGGGGAAGAAAAAGAGGGATTAGGGTCAGAAAAAGGGGGTGGGAATTGTATGGGGAATATAACCAAAATGAAAATGCATACATTATGCAAAAATGAAAAATGATGTAAGAATTAGGTAAAATAAAATAATTCATTTAAAAATAAATAAATAAAAGAATTCCTTTTGAAAAATTAAAAAAAAATTAAACATTTTATGACTCTCAAGTTCTTCTGCTCATTTCAATATAGTCTGTGTCCATCCTCTCTGTCACCTCTGACACACACCCCAGTGGGCCCTTCTACACCAGCTCCTGAGAGAATCATCTAGAAGCTGAGGTAAGGAGGAACCCTGCCCTCCTATGAGCCTGACCGAGCCTGTTACCTGTGGAAAACCCGAACAGGAAAACGAGGTAGACAAACATGAAGCGACACAGGTCCCGCAGGATCATCTGCAGAGAGAGCAAGTTCATCAGAACCAGCCCCAGTGGGGCTCAGGGAAGGGTCAGGACTGCACTGGCTTGGGGGTTCATCTTGAGCCCAGCTAGAACCAGAGAACATGCAGGATAGGTGGGTTTGGTGGTTTGGGGCTCAGGGGGTCATAAAGGAGTCATTCACAGTTCCGCACCATGGTCTTCTGGGGGGGCAGCAGGGTGAGAGGCGGGCTTATAGACAGCGGGATTAAATGTCAAGGCCAGATTGTCCGATTCTTGGGGAATCAGCTGGGAAAGTGGATCCTGAGCTAAGCTAGCTAAGCTAGCACCTCCCGAGACAATACAAAGGACGGATGCAGTTAGTGGACCGTGCCTGTGCAGACACAAGGTAAAATGGCTTGGTGGGGAGCCCACTCAGGCACTGGCACCCACCTTCTCAATCATGACAGCATAGATGCCCATCTGCTGGAAGCCGCGGGTGTAGTAGAGCATGTTGGTCCAGCCCATGGCCAGCGAGAATACCATGGAGGCCACGTACTCCTTGCGGTGGCTGAAGTACAGTGCCACGGTCCCCAGCATGAAAAGTGACTGCATAAAGCTGAGGGTGGCAGGACAGGGAGTTCTGTCTGAGGTCACTCAGGAGCCCTGGCACCCCCACAGATGAGAAGATCCCAATTGCTTCTCCTCAAAAGTACAGGCTGCCAGCCACGGTAGGATCTGAGCCAGCTGGCCTGTCTCCTTTAGCCCATGATTTTCCTTGGGAACAAGAGCAACCCCAAGGGGCAGTGGTGCAAAATCTTATTCTCTTTATATATAAAGCACAGATATAACTACAGTACATAAGTAGCTATACAGTATATTTTTGGCATCAGACTATAAGGGAGTAGCAATTAGGGGGAAAACGTCTTAAAAGGCAATAAGGAAAAGCTGAAAAACACTGCTTCAGCACTAACAACTTCTCTGCCCGGTTCCCAGGATCAACAGCTTCACTGGACATCAGAGAACCTAGGAGGTGTAGGTCCATGAAGAGGGACAGGTCATGTGCTCCTGAAATGCCACAGGTGTATCCTGTGGTTACACCCTCAAACTCAAGAGCACAGTCAGGAGAAAATGCCTGTCAGCTCCTCAGTCCAGTGGGGGCTGCTCAGGACAGGGTAGGGGACATCTGGGTCATCCTCTGACAAAGTCTGTGCAGTGGTCCTTTGCCCCAGGTGTCCTAGTTCATCATGGCCTCCTCCAGAGAGAACCCACTGCATTTATGCTGCAGACCACACCCACCACCTTACTTTCCGTTTGTGTGAAAGAAGCAAGCAAAAAGCCTGTTGAGTCCATTGAGAACTGGTATCAATAAACTGGCTCATCAACTGGAGCTCTGCTGCAAGGAAAAACTATTCCTCTGCATCTGCACAACCTTGGCCAGAATTAAAACTGACATTGAAATAGATAAAATATTTCCTCTGGTGGCAAGTGGAGTTCCCACGTATGAATTCTGGAAGTAAGAGAGCCAGTGGACAAGTGGAAACTGACTAAGCAGACACAAGAAACCCAAACCCAAAGCCAGTGAAGGAGAAAGATAATCAATTCTTAACTGAGGAATCTCCAAAGACTCAGGGACCATGAACAGGAGGTGATGAGACCAAATATAAGGGGGAAGGGAGGTTTTTCCTCTGAAGAAAACAAAACAGAAGATCTTTGACCATCAAACACCAGTTAAAGAATGGAATTGGACCAAAAAACAGGTTATGTGATTTTTATAGACTACAGATTATGGAAAGCCTTCTTCCCCACTCAGTTCTCAGAAGTCTGGCAGCCAGACTTCTTCCCTCCAGAGAGAAGATTGAAAGGATGCTCTCTGTGATATCTGCCAACCCCAGAGAAAAAGAACTCAGTGGACTGCCTTTGGATAGTTTCCATTAAATGGTTTCTCTAGGTCTATTAGTGAAGCTAATTATCTAGCTAGTTGCTAAATAACCCATTATCTGGACCCTATATTGAAACTCAAAATTGATGAACTATTAATGCACACATTAATAGCTTCCAACTGGCTTTTCCTTTGATCATAAACAAACATCAAAAATTTCCTTATATCCTGAAGATATCTTCAAACATGAAAGAGAACTGTTAAGCAAAAGGCATGTGACAACCAGGAAAATAAACAAAAATTATGCCAAAAGAAGAAAATTTACCAAAAACTATCTTAATAGCTTTAGTGAGACAAGACATTACAACACAAGACAAGAATAGAATGCTATAAAGAACAATCAGAATTTTAAGAGCACTTAGAGATTAAAAACATGATAGTGAAAATAATAAATTCAATAGAAGGCTTGGAATTTAAATTGATTTGAACTTCCCAGAAAGAAGAAGCAAGGACAAAGAGATAGAATACACATGAGGGAATGTAAGAACTGAGTCAGGACTAGGTTGGGAGCTTTATTGTATAAATCATTGACATTCCAGAAGAGAGATCCAGAAATAATTCAAGAAAATGCCCTTAAAAATGATATAAATTCCCTCTGATGTACCCAGAACATTGGACAAAAAAAAATCTACACCAAGATATAGCATTAAATTTCAGAACACTAGGAACGAAAAGTAGATACTGCAGATTTACAAAAGAAAAAAACCAAAACACTTCATAAAAGAGGACCCAGAATTAGAAGAGCTTTGGACTTGCCATCTATAATGCTGGAAGCAAGGGAACACTTGGCAGTATCTGCAGATGTCTTAAATGTCAAGACGAGGGGACAGGGAGAGGTCTAGGGCATCTAGTGGGTAGATCTAGGGATGCAGCTAAATATCCTACAATGCACAAGCAGCCCCCGCTTCAACAACAAAAAAATAATGCAATTCAAAATATCCACGGTGCCAAGACTGAGAAACTCTGCCCTAAAGACTGGCAATTCCTTGAAGGCAGCAGTCATGTCTATTTCATCTCAGTAGTCCAGGGCCAGTTCAGTGAGTCCAGATGTATGGGAAAAATGGACAAGAACACATCTAATTCAGACTCTAAACTATGCCCAGAACAGGGCTGTTATTTCCTAGCACCTGGTCTGGCCCCCCAGTGATCATCACACACTGAGGCCTGCCATGTTCCAGGTCCATCAGATTTGAGAGAGTAAGAGCTAGTTGCTATAAATTGAGGATCTGGCAGAAAGGTGTTGTCTGCTATTGTGCATTAGAGTCAGAGTCACTTACAAAAGCATCTCACTGTAGCTGTCCACAAACAAGGTCTTCAGAGATGGCCGCCTCTGCAGGAAATATTGAATCTGCGGAGAAGTAGACAAAGGTAGACTCCAGAAATGGTTAGATGCGGCTAAATGGTGAGTGCCCAGAAGGCTGAATGCCAGCTTGCTGGGACGCTGGTGCCACAATGCAGAGATTATGACAGGAGTGGAGACGCATGGGTCAGGCTAACAGTTAATGTGTAACTCAGTCCAGGGGGATTTTAAAAGAGCAGAGTAGAATGAGAAGCAAAGACAGGAAGGAAAATCACCAAAATGTTATCAATCGCTGTGCTTAAGTGACAGAGTTTGGGGATTTTTTGTCTTCTTTCTAATTCATAAGTGATTTTTCCTAAATGTCTTTAAGAAAGCACTACAATAAGACTTCTTATAGTCAGTCTCCCCTGAACTAATTCACTAGATTAACCAGTGCTCTCCACCCCCTGAAAACACTGGCGATGCCACTCCACATGCTCCCGCCCACCAGTTAATCCTGTTTTGACCAAGACTGCCTCTGTCCACTGCATTTGCTACGGTGGCTTATGCTTCATTATAAAATAAACTATGAGAGTCAAAATCACAACAGTGATATATAACACAGTGAAAACTGTGCAACAATGAGAAAAGATGCCATAAAAATAAGTTACTAAAATAATTGGGTTATAACATAGGTGAAAAAGGTTGGGTGGGGGAACTCACAATAATCCCAAATTCCACATTCTCATCTCTCACTGGGTCCCACAGGCAAAGATGGCTCAGATATTTAAAACGGAATGGTTGCAGTGTGCTAAGCATTCATCCACTGTTCTGAACCTTAACAAACTATTTTTGATGAATTAAGCAACTATTAGTCCCAATCTTGTCACTTCAGAGGCTTCTACTGTGTCTTTTCTAAGTATTGCATTCCACAGAGAACCCTGACTGTCAATGTTCAAGCATGACTGCCTGGACCCTCGGGGACCACCGAGCAGAGCCCACCCCCAATCGTGAGTGCCTGGAGGGCTCTCCCCTCCCACCTGTGCATCTCCTGGTCCCTCACATGTCCAGTGAATTAAAGAGTGAGTGAGCACTGAATGAGTCTACCAGCTTTTTCTTTAGGTGGGTAGTTAAATTCACAATGTGAGAAGGAGCACTTACCCCTCGGAAAAAAAAGTAGACTCCCCCTGATACAGAAAGAATCTCTCCAGTGACCCGGAAATAGTCTGCAACGGTGTGTTTCATCGTATAGGGGGGCTGTAAGGTGCAGAGAAGTTGTGACAGCTTTCACTCGTTCATTCATCATCTGACCAATATTTATCTGGGTGCCAAGCCCCAGGATTAAGACCCAGCCCCCGCCCAAGCAGCTCAGCCTCCATCGTGAGACAGAAATCAAGGCAACACATTATTTTGGGCACACCTGCAAGGAGGCCCTCTGTACAACCTAATTCCCAAAGTGACAGCCTCCAGGCACCAAATGGAGCATCCTTACAAAACCCCTGACATTTCCCAGGCTGGGAGGCACAGGGGAGGGCCTCTTACAGACCAATGCCCTGTACTTCCTCCTGCTCCCACCACCACGGGGAAGCCCTGATCTCTCAGGCTGGAATGTGGAGAGAGACATCCCACACATTTGTGTTCCAGCCATCGTTTTCTAGAACGGGTTTCCTTTTGGTGTACACCGATGTTTCTTAAACACTAGCTCACTTGCTTGACTTATTAGCACATTTTCATTTTCTCTTCAAATGAAGCCATTAAGTAGGTGGATAGAAATCAGGTTTCACCTAGGAACTTGATTTTTTTTTAAATCAAATATATAAGCAAGACAATAAGGGCAGCAAATTAGCTTTTTGGGTATTTAACAGACAGGATTCAATGCAGAAAATTGACAGAATCCATGGCTGCCAGTAGAGGAGAAAGCCTGGTCTTAAACTTATTTGGTGGATGGTCCAGGAAGTCCTCAAAAATATGTGTACAGGGTGCAAATCATAAGCAAGTGTGCAAACAAAAGTGGGAGGTGAGCCCTGAGCTTGTGAGCCTGTAGACAGCCAGTTCAGGTGAGAGCTGCTTCTGGGGCGCTAATTCCTGCATCCTCTCTAACCCGGTGCTCCCCCTACAATCAAGGACCCCTGCTAACTGCCTCCTGCGTGCTCAACCTCACAGAATCAGGAGGCTAAAGGGTAAGGGCTGAGAACAGGACCTGAGTGGCAGTGGGGTGAGGGTGGGGGTGTCCCCAGGCTGTCTGAGAGAGGAAAGACTGAACACAGAGGGATCCGGGTATCCCTTCTGCCTCCAGCAGAGCCAGGAGTCCAGGGCCCAGCCTGGGCCTAGCATCTTGCGGGTCATACAGAAATACCCACCTCCTTCATATCTCACCCCCTCTGAGCCCTGAGCCCCAGACCTACCAAGCCTTCCACAGGCCTGTAGTAGGCAGCCGTGGTAAAGATGATCATGTACAAGCAGTAGACAAAGAAGTTGAAGTAGAAGATACGCTTGACAAATCGGTCCCACTTGTCCTGCAGAAGTCGGTTCAGTGGTTCCACCAAGAGCATGTCATGGCGATTCTAAGGGGAACAGACAGAAGTGAGGCTCCCCACCCCAGGAACCTCCTCGAACTCCGGCATCAGCCTGCAGCACACCTCACACTCACACCTCTGCATGGGGCTATAAGCCAAAAGGGATGCCACAAACAGGGCCAAGGATAGGGAATCTACCAAAGAAATGTGAACGACCAATAAACATGAACATGTAGGACCTCACAGTAATCAAGAAAACCAGAATGAAGACATCCATAAGAGAGCATCTTTGGCTCCATGGACTTAAACTCATAAAAAACAAAAAAGATAATGAATACCCAGTTTCCAAGGGCATGGGTAGATATGTACCCATTGCTGGTGGTGAGCATTGATGTGATCATTTTGGAGGACAATTTGGCAGTCACTGTTAAAATATTTAAATATAAATACTTTAGCAATTCCAATTGCAGGTATACTTTATGGAAAAAAATTCAGAGCCATGCTAAATGGCCCGTACCATATAGTATCAAAAAATGTCCTTCTAGGGACACTTACTCCCCATGTCTACAACGAAATACTATGCAGCAATATTTTTCAATAAGTCAGGCCTATGTGGATTGATATAAAATTGTCCACAAAACACACCAAAGTAAAAAAAGTGGTTGTTTTGCATGATGTATAGTATGATCCCACTTGTACAGACAAAATGAAACATCTACATGTTTCTAGATGGTATAAGGGAGGACTTGTTTTGCCTCTGTGCTTTTGAAATTCTTAAGTTTTTATAGGAATATCATCATATACTGATTGTTTGATAAAGAAAGGCATTCTGTGGGAATGAACAGGAGATGAGGTTGCAGGACTTGCCCCCCCCCCCCGCCCCCCAAAGCGCCAGTCCCCATGCAGCAGGTTTTTACTAATGAAAGAACAAGTAGAGCCGGCCAGGGGCCTGGGGTGAGGACTAGGGTGCAGAGAAGTCTTCCCTGCTGGGTTCTGGCCCTGGCCCACTCACAGGGGTCTCGCTGCTGCTATAGGCGATCACCTCCAGCACTGAGTTCTTCTCACAAGTGTCGATGCAGGACAGGTCATAGAGCGAAGAGTGCACAGGCCCATAAGCCCATTCGGTGAACTTTCTGGACAGGTGCCTGCATTCGGGCTCCTGGATCTCCCTCTGGAGGATATAGGCCAAGACCTGCCACCAGCGCAGGAGCCTATTAGAGGCCAGGCCAGGGCCCAGCCACAGGCTGCGTCCTCACCAGCCTGAGAATTACTGTGCTTCAGCCCAGTAGGAGACCACACCCAGTCCCAGGAGAGCTCCACCCCCACCCAGTGGCACCTGATCATCATCAAGATCAACCTGTCACATCAAACCCATCACTTGATCACACCTAGCCCCTCAGTTCCCCCATCTCACAGTGACAGATTACAGCAGTCCATTCTAGAAAACCTCAAATCAGAAGGAAATAAAGAAAATCCAAAAAATAAAACCAAGGTAAAAAAGTCAGGCTCCTAATCCTTAGAGACTAAGGATTAGCAAGGACAAGCTTCCAGAATCCCCTGGTGCTGAGTACCCCTCTCCTCTTCAATGCCCAACTACATGACCCCACCATCGGCATTCCACAGCCTGACATCACCCATAGGCCCCCGTTTGGGCGGGGGCCTGCCCTATCCCAAACTCCCGCGTGGGACCCTTCCTATCACCAAAAATGAAAAACACCTGTAACACCACAACTCACCCCACCCCCAGGCCCAGCACCCCACCCTATCTGTTGGGATGGTAGGAGTGGGAAATCAGAAGCAGCCACGTGTGGGGTGCCGGTTCTGCTCTGCATTTCCCAGTTCCTCTGGCTCACTCTCACCGCCCCCTGCCCTGCCCCCACAGGCTGGGGCCACAGCACTGGGGCTGGGTGAGGAGGCCAGATGTACACAGCGAGACAGGCAGCCCCTCCACACTCCAGCCCAGGCACGAAGCCCCTCCATACCCCAATCTTCCCGCTCTTGGCAGCCAGAGCCAGGGGTGTCAGCCCCTTCTTGTTAGTAAGTTCCTCTAGTTTCAGTGTCGGATGGAGTTTGGCCCCCAGGATCAGGATCTCATTGTACATGCTGGTCACAAACTTGGTGTTTTCGGCCGTGTTGTCTGCCACCTCCACCAAGGCGTGCAGCACCGTGTTGCCCACCGAGTCCCGGGCGCTGATGTCTGCCGGCTGCCAGGAGTTCTGCAGCAGGAACTTCACGATGCCCAGCTGGTTGGTGCACGCGGCCAAGGAGAGGGGCAACTCGCCTACAGCCAACATGGGCACGAGGTTTAGTCCCAAGACCACCCAGCTTCACCCCCGCCATCTCTACCTCAACTCCCCACACCACCCCCACCTTAGCAACTGTCAAAAAGTCAAGTGTGCCCACATGGTCTCCCTACCAAAGTAAAAGCCAGGCCGCCCTTTGGTCTTCTTAAAGAAGTCCCCGTTTGCCGCAGCCTGGACATCTGCCCCGTTCTCCACCAGGAGGGTCACCAGTGGCATGTTCCGCCTCTCGATGGCGATGTGCAGCGCCGTCTGGCCTGTGGGGGATGTGTGCCTGCAATTGGCTTGTGCTCACAGTCCTGCGGGAGTGCCCGGACAGGTGCTGGAAGAGGGCCTGGGCAGAAAAAGCCAGGTGACCCCCACCAAGGACAGGATCTAGCAAGGACAGGATCCCCAAAAGAGGCCTGGGCAATCTCTACAGCTGGAGTAGAGATCCCTGGGAACAGAGGACACAGGGTGGAAGCTGGAGGAGTCAAATTTGCCCAAGGGAAGCAACAGGGGCAGAGAGAGAGGCCAGAGACTTCTAGCAACAGAAAACTCTAAGCCTGTAGAAGGGAGAATGGGAACCTCAGTACCAGATGAATTCAGTGGGTGGGGGAGGAGGTAGGGCCCCCCAAGACCAGGAGATGCTGACTCAGCAACTGGGACAGGGAGAAAGGAGCTCAGCGGCTTGCCCACACCTGACAGTACCCTCCAGGCTCCAGGTGTGCCCCTCCCCAGCCCCCTCACCCTTGTAGTAGCTGTCCGTGTAGCTGGCGTTGACAAGCTCCTTCAGGCTGTCCGTCTGCCGGGCGATCTCCAGGAGCAGGGGGATGGTGTCGTTCTGTCCGTCATGCAGGTTGAGCATGGCTTTCAGCAGACAGGTCTTCCCTGTCTCTGGGTCTGCAAAACAAAGAGGGTCAGAGCAGGCACTGCAACCAGGCTGCTCCCGGGAACCCCACTATCTCTGGGTCACCTTTGAACTCGCTGTCCATGAGGTGCTTCTTGCTCCTCTGCAGGAACAGCAGCAGGCTCTCCAGCTCCCCACAGTTATTCTGGGCGACAGCTTCAAAGATCTTCCTGCGGTCATAGAGCTTGAGGTTCTTCTTGGCTCCCGCGGAGACACAGTTCTGGAACAGCTGCCTGCAGGCCCAAGAACACCTTCTCCTCACACTCTGGTCTCCCCTGGGCCCCAGGGCCTTCAGAGCTTGTCAGGGAATACAACTAAACCCCAAGGCAAAGCGAAAGGGGAAAATGCATGGTACAAAACCCACCTACTCTCCTCTGTCTAGACGATCATTCCAGAAGGGCTCCTGTGTCCCCATTCTGTCCCACCCTCTCTGGGGACATCTAGAAAGTCTTTACTGCTTGAGAGCTGGGGTTTTGGAGGCAGTAGCCTGGATGGCGCCTGCAAGAGCACCCTGATCCTGGCCCAGAGGTCAGCCAGCCTGAGGGCCCTCCCTGACCTGGGAGGAGGTGACAGAGCTGGCAGGCTCCTCATTGGAGCTGTCTGGTATTCTTTGTCTAAGAGCATTTTGGGCTTTGATTTTTGTGGGATCAGCAATCTGTAGAGAAGCCAGCATCCGGGACCTTGTGTCCTGAAGGTCCTGTGAGTGCAGATGCTGGACCAGATGACCTCTGAAGTCTTCCCCACTCCTGGGTTCTATGCCTTTCAGCCCATAAGCCAGTATTTCCACGACGTGGCCCCCATCTGCTGAACCAGCTGGGCTCCTGGTGGGGAGGGTCTGAGGCAACAGTTGCAGCTTACCTAGCATAGCCAGGGCCATCCCCAGGCCTCTGGGTGATGACAGCAGGGCTGACTGTGATGGCAGGGCAGGAGGACAGCTCGCCTTCCTCGTAAGAGCAGTCCATGGGGGAAGCCTCCTCTGAGTCACATTTCCCAAAAAGCCGGCTGCGGCTCTTGGCCGTGGGAAAGAAGTGGGATTTGACTAGAGCTGGCCTGAAGTTAGGGTCTTCATCCAAGGGGTCTGGACAGGAGTCCTCTTGGGATGGGTCCTCAGACTCTCCTGAGTCTGAGTTGCCCCATTTCTTCATCTTTGCCAGATCCTCTGTGACCCAAGAGGCAGCCTGTGGGCAGCCACAGAGATGGTTTGTTTCCATTTGAAGCACTGCATGTCCCAAGCCCCCACTGGCCTCCTGCAAAGGCCCCTGTGAAGCACGACACCCCAGAAGTCCAACAGTTGCTGAGAACCCCCCAGAATAGAAGCTTCTGGGGTGCTATACCTCCAACCCCAGAGGACCCAGAAGTGAGAAGGCCCACCAACCACATGGGCATCAGCCTCCAGGGGTGAGCAGAACCTCAGCTTGGAACCTGCAGGCTCAGAGGGACCTGGATGGATTCCTCTGCACCCCTGGGCTCCAGCTGCTGGTCTCAGCGTGGGCATGATGGCCGTGGCCCTTCTTCCCTCCCAGGTCGGAATGAGGGAAACAATGGGAGCAGGTGTCGCTGGCTGCGCACTCAGAGGAGGATGGTGGGGCCCCAGCGCACCGAGGGTAAGGGTGGCTGGCGGGGACCAGCACACTCACACTCCACACCACACCGGCACTCGCTGCTATGTCCCCATCCTCAGCTTTCCCGCACCTGCTTTTGCTCTTCAACCTGGTTTTTTTTCACTTTTTGTCATTTTTGTGAAATTTCTACGTTTCAAGTATCCTGACCCTGAACTTTTAGACTTTGAGCGATTTGGGGCTGATAGACCTTTTAAGCCCGAAGCCCTAGAAGGAGAACATCAGGAGGAAGCTATCTGGTGTAGGTACAGTTTTCTTGTCCCTTCCTAACCTTACCTCCTAATCTTCCCTCCATCTGGATGGGCATCCCCATTTCCTGGTAGCCAGGACTCCCCCACATCTCAGAGGCCTTTACCTCTGTGGTGTCTCCATTTGAGGTGTCTTTTCGTCCTCCTCATCTTGCCCAAATCCTACCACCTCTCAGAGGTCACCTACCCTCGGGGTCAGCACTGATGCTACCTCCCCTACCGAGCCCCCTATTCCCTGCATTGGTCATGTTCCCTCCCCCTCCGTAGTGGCCCATTTCAGAGTCCATCCATCTCCCAGGATGGAGCACCATCTACTTTGCAGTTTAGCACTTTCTCTCTCTCTCTCTCTCTCTTCTTTATCTCCCCTGTGTCCTGGGGCTGCCCTCCCCACTCCTGGATCCATGCCTACATTTTCATAAAATTTCTTTATGAAAAAAAAGCTGTGCTGATTGTCTTGGAGAAATGAGAGACACCAGATAGAGACCCATCTCGTTCCCATTGTCATAGGGAGTTAGGGAGAGGAACGCTGCAACAGCGGCTGGATTCCAGAAAACGGCCACGGGAAGGCTTCTCAAGACCACCATTTCTCAAGTGAAAGGTCAGGCAGTGCAAATTCAGCCATGGTGATAACTCAGCATGACCTGAGGCCCCAGCTGGGACTCGATCCATAGACAAAAGATGAGGCAGGCTCACAACTCCACGTCCTGTGGACAGAACAGAGGCTGACCACCTCTTACTCTGCTCCCAGGAGACATGAGACTTTCTCTCATCCTCCCTCAGAGGGAAGCTCAGGACAGAGCTCCTGGTAACAGAAAGCCCAATCGCACACCTGTTCATTCACACCAGCACTCAACACCATCCACTGATGGGGCATAGTGACGGCTCAGGCCCCAACTGAGACAGAAAACAGCCACGGACTGGAGGAAGGGCAGTGGGCGACAGGGTGGTGCAAGAAGGATTGGAAACTGGAGCTGGGTCTGGAAAGGGCATAAGGTTAGGTGGGGCTGGAACGGAGGGTGGGGATCCCCAGATCATCAGAGGGTGGCTGATGAAGAGAAAGTTAGTGAGACCAGAGGACACGTGGCAGTGTCTGAACTAGATGATTACGGCCCTGAATGCCCAGCAACAGTCCACAGACATTATCACATGGAAAGCAGGAAGCCACTGGAAGCTTCAGAAGCATGGACACCAGACACCAGACACCAGACACCAGACCCAGACTGTGCTTTCAGAAGGCAACTTCCTGTCAAGGACTATTCATAGTATGGGGAACCAGTCAGCATTTGAAAGGCACATGAGATGAGGGGAAATGGAAATGATTGGCGTGTTTCAGCACATGCCGTGCTTTGCATGCATTCATTTTCACAGCACGTCGAAGAGACAGATATTTTACAGATGAGGAAACTAAGGCACAAGGCAATCACATTACTTGCCCAAGGTGACACAGTGAATAAGAGCTGGAATCTGGATTCGATCCCAGACAACCTAGCATCACCAGTATTCTGCCACCTCTCTGGAAGGCTCAGTGTTCCTTAGTGGCCATTCAGCTCAGCCCCAGATCACACCAGGGTCTGGAGGCTGATCATACCAAGTCCTCTCAGCTTTGGATCAGGCAAGTGGGGACAACTCCCTTCCAGGCAGAGCTCTTACCCTGTAGCACCCTCCTTTTCAAACAACCATCCCAGAATGCTCTAAACCCCACAACAAAGTACAAATAAGACCCAGGCCATTGCCACACCTGGCTCTCACCGGAATGTCTGAGTCTCTGCTTGGGTAAGGCTGGCTGCAAAACCAAGAGTAAGCCTGCTGCCTGGCTAGCAGTTTGTAGCAGTCTAACAACAGGACACCTAGTAGAACAGAAACCTCCATGAACCTCTCAGGAATGTTCTTTTTGAGCCGCTTGGCCTCTTCCTCTGACAAGTCCAAATCTAACTAAACCCAGTAAACTTAAAGCAGCCCACATAGTATTATCATTCATTCAGTCAACAAACCGTGCATCTATACTGATGCTCTGCAACTGATCCCCTATTAGAAACCAAGTTTCTCCCAGGGCACAGGATAGAACAGGGACTGGGGGGCCATTTTCTCTAGGCTTGGGGGGACAGGGGAGAGTGGACAGGGACAGCAAAGTCTAATATGGTCAGACCATTGTCATGAGTTCCTTGACAATGCACCCACTACAGCCGAACATTCTACACTGATGGAATTGCCCACCATGATTTGGGTTGTGTGATGGAGATGGTGGTTTTGTTTTACAAAAGATTCACAGACATCAATCTGAACTAAAGGACAGACCTGAGAAAACAACCCTGCCCAGCAAAGGCCTGGCTTGCCCTCGGAGTCTTTCTCAACTCCAGCGCCAGGAAGGACACCACCCATCTCCCATTCCTTTTGTCCACATCCAGGTGGTATATCCTGGGGCAAGGTCTCCCACTCAGCTCTCTACCCAAAGCACCTGTTTGCCTCCAGCCTCCACACAGGCTGGTTAGGACCCAGCCCTGATCAGTCTCATCCCTCAGCTTACCCAAGCATCTCCTAAAGAGGGCCAGAAAGCTGGGGGTTCCCCAGCCCAGGTTGAGCAGCCAAAGGAACACTGCCAAAAGCAGAGAGTGGAGTCTGGACAAGCATCCAGGGCTCCTATCCTCAGTCCAGCACTCCTTTCCTCCAGAGAGGGAAGCCTCTGGCCACAAACCACTGACCTCTGCAGCAGCCACAACCTCTTCATCCCAGAATGACTCCGGCACAAATAATAAACCTCGATAATAGCAATCTCCACCATCACTTACCGAGCGCTTGTGATCAGTAAGTCTCACAGATATTTAAGTGACCACTGTTATTATTCCCAGTTCTCAGTTAGAGTAACTGAGGCCAGTTGACCTGCTCACGTCACACAGCTAGAAAGAGGGAGGCCTCAGCTTTTGACAGCTTGCTATGCCACTTTAAAGACTAACATCTGCCTTGGCCTCCAAACAAAAGGGGACTTACCAGCCAGCCGCAGGCACACCCCAGAACCAGGGAGGGCAGGTGAGCTCCAAGGCTGTTCTACTTGAGAGGAGAGTTGAGCTGCTGTGAGAAGAGCTGCCTCCCCTGCCTCCTTGAGGGTCCTGGGCCCCTCCCCAGGCTGCTGCTGCTCTGCTCTGGCAGGGATGGGCCGTGGGCACTCTGGCACTCAATGAAAATGTTTCTAGCAGGGGCAGCAGCTGCTGTTGCTGCGGCTCTGATTCCCAGAGGATCCCAAAGCTTTTCCCATCATTTTTGCCCTTTTTCAGAAACCACTTAGCCACTGCCCCTCCTCCAGCCATGCCAGGCCTGCTGCACTTAGCCACCCGCAGCCCAGAGCCAGCCCAAGCTGTAACCTCCACTCGAAAGGAAGGAGGGCACTGTTCAGACCCCCCAAGTCCATGGCTCTTGACACAGGGTGGACTGGAGAAGCAGCTCAACAAATGCTCTTTCATAGCCTGAGATGTAAACCCCAAAACCCTAGAACTGCTCCATTTTCAAAATGAAGAAGGGATGGGAATAGCACGTCACCCCTCACCAAGTCCCGCCTGCCATTTAGGGACCTGCTTTTGCATGCTGGCCTTACCACCAACCGTGTGTGACCTTGAGCCAGTCCCTGGCTCTCTTGGGTCTCTTGTTCCCTGTGTGCCCAAACTGGGAGAGGGAATTGAGGTACGCGGCTTCTGGGCAGGCCAGGTCCCAGCCCATCTCATCAGGGGTTGCTCATGGAACCACAGAACACAGAAAAGTATGAGGGTCTTATTTTCTCATTTCTCCTAGTTTAATCCTAAATGCGCAGGAGAAAAGTTAATTCATGACATACAGTAAGACTTAATCTCCTGCCAGCACCTGGCTGAGAAAAGCTGCAAGTCTTTCTGGGTGTGAGTACAGACGCACACCAAAATGCCCTGCAGAAGCTAAACTAGCAGCTGCCCAGAGGAGCCCATGGTCCAATAAGACATGGGCCAGACGAGGCCTGAAATGAGCACTGGTGTGCCAGAGAGGAGCGGCTCACAAGCTCTCCCCTGCATCAGGCATTAAAGTGGGACGGCGCCTGGACGCTGTGTGGCACGCCACTCTTTACACAGAGCTTTGCAAACCCACTTCCCCAGGCCACGCGCAGCCCTGGGCAGTGGGAGAGCAGAGACCGCTGCGTCCAGCTTACTGAGCCGATGAGACGTCTGTGTCACTGGCAGTGAGCCTGCCGGTCAGGCTGCAGGTCTGGGCCCAGGAGCTGGGCCTGCAGTCACATGCCTGCTTGGAGAACTTTGTACATATATCAGACCAGTTTACATGTGCCATCTTAGC